CAAAACCGAGCAAAATATCAACGTTTCTCTCCCAAATTTGGTCCAAATCTGGCGTTTTTGAAGCTGTCATTGCTAATATACAATTTGTACGGTGCACATGACTCACTTTTCGTCATTCTGCCAACTCGTGACCCACTTTTGGCCATTTTTCAAGAACTTCACATCACGTGACTTAGTTCAAAAGGTTATGTTGGCAAACAGTGCAAAGCGACCACAAGAGAGTTGAACAGGGTCCAAATAATGTGTACGGGTTCGTCACGTGATGTTACGCACTGCTGGGACGTGCCATGCAGCACAAGAAACTACCTCCACTGATGAGCTCTGTTGGAGCGTACCAGCTGTCTGGAGGGTACGCAATATCAAAGGAATTGTCCTCGCCATAGTGGTGATGCGCAAGTGGAGTGGATCGGCTAAGAGCATACTGTGGAGTGGTGAAGGGACTGATTTAAAGTAATGGTTGTAGCTGCTTTCTCTTTTTATATTGTAAAACCGGAAAGTCGAACGAGTCACAAAGTCTAACGTTTTAACGACCGATTTTTTTCGTTAGTTGAAGAAACGTTATCGTGAACCCGGTTTGAGATGTCTGTGTAAAGATGCGCATACATCGATGCATGTTCTTTCCGTTGTACAAATATTGTTAAACTTTCTGCACGTTAATACGCCCAAAATTACAAAAAATGTTAAACTTCTTGGTCGTTAAACTTTCCGGCTTTACAGTATCCTACTACATGTACCATCAGAGAATAACGCATTTTACTAAGGGCGTCAACTTCTGTTGAATTGGCACGGAGTCATTCCACTATATTTAGTGATGAACGCGATGATTGAATTGACCCACCTTTCAGTTAGCAAGGACGACACATCCTTGCAAAACTCCTCTGACATTTTCATACATTTCCTCAGCTCCTGATAGCCATTGGCTTGCTGTACAGGTGATGCATAGAACCACACAAACAACAGCCACAAACTTAGCCTTAATTAAAACCAGAAACACGTCATTCACGCGCGAGAGGCAAAGCAAAGGTACCACTGACGCATATTGTACTTTTGATCGCAGAAGCAGCCCTTTTTTGCTTCTAGAGGATAACGAGGAAGGCTCAAATCAGGTCCACGGTGTTATGATCATTTTAAATATCCGAAGAAAGTGTGTGAAAAAGGATGTGGGTTGACTGACCACCATTTTCAGACAATAGAATGATGTAGATGTGGCAACTACAGCACGCTAAATCTTATAGTATACGCTTTGCCACAATTATAGACCCATTTACTATCTTTCCTTGAAGAGGCCAGCCACGAGGATAGCCCTCACTATTCAAAAAAAGTACAGACCACGCTCAATAGCTCTATCAATGCATGGCAAATGTGTGGTGCTGTACACGTCTGCATAAGTGCAAATTGGTACTGACATGGTACAACCTGTATCAGAGCAGTGGACTAGCTTTAAATCGCACAAATACACGAAAATTAATAGAAGCAAACATAGACTAGAATAAGAAGCATGGCAGTCGGTACACATCATGCCATCACACAACACCTCCTTCAACACTGCCTGCTTATTCCCAGGTTAAACAGATGGTGACTGGATCAGTGCCACGGAGCGTGACAGAGCAAGTGCTTGACATCAGGTAAGGATGTCACAGGACACATACTGGTGACATGAAACATGGGCCGCCCCACACAATGTACGCCAGCATCATCATGGATGCCTCATGGCCTGCACAGCTGTTCCCAAGCATCAACTACAGACGCAGGAAGCGTACGCAAGACGCATAGCCTGGTCAGTAGGTTATACCGTGTACTTCACTGGTGGTCACTAGCTGCTGGTCCTGGTTTGTACTTACCGGTATACAGTGTGGTAATGCTGAGGTATCCATGCACATGGGACCAGGCGAAAAGTGTGTTGAAGGCGAAACTTATGCTATACCAGATTACGTTACAGCGAGGAAATTGTATATGGAGAAGGTACAGTTTCGGCAGGGACATTTACATTTTGTATGGTATAGTGACGCCTGAGCAGCACCAGGAACCTTTCACAAGTTTCAGGCACCGTTGAGTATTAATATTACAACATGCCTCTGAAGGGGAGCTGCGAGATGAAATCAACACTTCAGATCCAGTAGTCTTCAGGGCGCTGAATCGGATATCTTTGACTGAGAGTGCAGGAATGCAGCTTTCACAATTGCATGCACTCCCGGTCATCAGACATTGAGCCTGGTGTACCACTATGGGCACTCCAATGGATGCCGTGGAAGTGCTGAAGACAGATTCAGCAAATGAAATGTGGTACTTGCTCAGGTACCAAGCTACAACTCTTCATGTGCATCGTGAACACAAGCAAGGCAATCAGCATCACATGCTCGGCGCTGTGCTGTTCCCAAGTCTGGATATCGCTGGCCAGCACAATACCTGGAGGTGTACTGACAAACGGTGGCTATTCCAGCACCATCACGCGCTACTACATAACATGCACAGTGACAAGTTGAACTGTGCGTGCAGCTTCTAAAAGCAACCCAATAGTAGTGCCGCCATGGGACTAACAACACTTCGGTATAACATACTCTGGGTACACTAAACTATGTGCTATAACATTCATACGTTTGAGGGAGCATGGGCTATGATAAAGACTTATTTTTGATGAGTCTAGGATCTAGTACATGTACCTCCGCTATAAAGTACAGATATGTATGACCCTGGGAACTACGTACCTACAATGTAGTATACTGAACTGTCTGAAGTTTCACTGAAATTGCACTTGACATTATTTTAGTCTAGAGGAGAGGCAGCTCAAAGAATTCAAGATTTCCTGCACCCTAGCATTAGCAATACACCTACACGCCTATACTGTTCACACACTTACCCAGAACGATTCGGTGAAACTCATGGTGCCGAGCTGACTTGTGCAATTCTTGACCAATATAGCTCAAATTGGAAATACGTCCGACGGTTGTAGCATCGGCCAGCGAGACTAGGCTTACTGAAATGATGCCAGACGAAACCAAGATTTCAGCAGCAAAGGAGCTTACATCTAAGATGGTCACTACAGCTACAAGGGCAGCTCAAGAAATCCTCAGCAGCCTTGATTATGATAGCCACATGCACAGCTTCAAGTAAAATTAAAATTTCCTTACATGGGACAGCCAGTGAACCACTGGCCAACACAAACCCCAACAAAGTTTGAAACTCATAGAGTCAGGTTCCACGGGCGGCAACAGTCTTTCATGGCATTGCAAACAGACCTACAGGATATGCCGCGAAGACGTGCTGAGGTCGTCTTCTCAATTTCATCTCGGAACAAAGTCACCGTCAACTGGTCGTAGTACTATACCCTATTTCCTCACATGCATTCAGCATAGTACTAGACTGGTACTGTCAGACTGTGGTAGACTGATCTGCAGATCTACGCATTCGTAGTACTCTAGCTCTGCCTACTTTTAAAGCTACGGCATGCTACGCACAGCTTCACAAAGCCGCGTGTTCTTTGCGGTGTGCATGTGGCCATGCCCTATATGGCGCCAGTGCAGTGCATAGCACGTCCACTTGTCTTTTAGTTTTGCAGTTGCTTGGTAGATCTACTGATCAGGGAGTAGTAAAATTGTATTTTACTACTCCCTGGTACTGATAGTCTGAGAGAGAGAGAGAGACTCGGCCGGAGTGTGTGTAGTGCCACATAACACGGCAAGACATGCCAAATACTACTATTACTAATACTAGCAGGTACTAGGTAAGGGAGTAGATCTACTCTGAAATGTGTAGCTAGCTACCTATCAACCAGGGAGTAGTACAATACTCCCTGCTATCAGTATCAACATCCTGTGGTATGGTAACGCGGATGTGCAAACTAACTTTAGTCTACTTTTTGTAGATCTACCGTCTGCTGACTGTAGTGTAGATAAACATCGAGAGTAGAACCTCTACTTTTTACTGGTAGTCGCCGGGATGGAGAGCTAATGATTAATTAATAGTAACTGTTACTAAGTATAGCATAACTTGTACTTGTAGTTCCTATCCTTGGTCCTTTTTCTTTACTTATAAATCACAGACATAATGGGAAGTGACAATGCAGTTTGACTTCCATGGGATCCGGCACTCTGCAGACCACACACGCCTTGAAGGAGTAGATTCTACTGAAAACTTTCACAAGTATCAGCAATCTCTCTGCATTGTGAAAGTCTTCAAATAACCTCACTACACGACTCCCTGCTGCAGACGGTCTACCGTAGTATCAATCATCACCCTTCATGTGGAGCTGTACTATAAAAGCCATAATTATTATAACAAAGTGCTAACTCTAACGAGTTAGCGAGGAGAAATCTGTCGTTAAAATAGAAATCGTTATACAGAAATCGATACACATACTGTCCTATTGAGCGTTGAGAATGAGTGAGAATCGTTACCTTTGGTACACGTAAACTAGTCAATTTTGGGAAATCGTTATATATGCGCCTTGTTAGAATAATGGCTTTTACAGTATGTGATTTTGCACGCGTACACACACACATACACACCACCCATAGCACACACACTGATGAGCATACAGTCAACCTCACGAATAGCAACACTAGTCAGTGTAGTCACTAACTTCAGACCAAGTAACCCCCAGACTGCATACTCTTCAATCTCGCAAATAACGACAACTCGTGAATAACAAGGCCGATGTTTCTCATGTCCGATCGTTAGTATTGTACAAGTCCTGTACTGTACTTGAAGTACTGTTGATCATGCAACTACAGTCTACAGCAGTACAGGGACGTCGGAACCGGTGCGGCAGGTCTGGTCAAAGGCGCACCAATAACTCCATCTTGGATTTTTGAAGCAATGGAATATGGGCTATTTGGGCCCAATTTCCCTAGAAATTTTCCAGGGGAGGACCCCGGACCCTACACCCATTCATGGCCGCACCAATGATTATGTCGAATACCTTCCGACGCCCCTGAACTGCCATGTACCTTCCAGGTCCCACTGACCAATTCACGTTTCAGGCGTGCACTCCACACTGCAAGTGAATCTCAAACATTCAATTTAGATCTTGATACACACAACATAATATGGTCGACACAGGACCGGGGGGCACAAGTCTGCACTGCAAGTTTCAGCTCGCGGCGGCAAAAGAAAATACTTCAAAATACACGGATACGAACGATAGTTACATTTAGAGACTTTAGTCAACAGTGGTATGTAGTACTATGTACACAGGAGAGCGCAACAACATCGCTGTAAGTCTTGCTTTGTTGTTGTTCTTATGTGCATGCAGTATAGTGCTGCGGAGAAAGTAACGTTGTACCATACTAACATTACACTGTACATACAGCAGAGTCGCTGCAATCAAGCAGCATCAACAGCAACAGCGAGTGTCACGGGCATGAAAGAGAGTTTAGGCGTGTAGTGTTACAACAGTCGCTTGTTACGGCTACTGCCGGCATGCAGGGACAGCGGGACTTTTAATTACAACGGAGGGCGAGGGAAGGGGGGGGGGGAGAGCAATAGGCTTGTTAACTGGTTTTAATACCAGCTCACAGAGACCAGCTCACAGACAGCAAATAGTGTACACTTTACAATACAATAGGGTGCTCCCACATGAGCGCATACACATACACACACACGTGCACACTCCCAGACTTGTCGACACCACCAACATCGATGTAGGGCGTCAGCACTTTCTACCAAACACTACCGCGGTCGTATAATCGGGAAATGGCGATGCGTGGAGAAGTCGAACTGTGGAGATTCCTACAGGTAGAACAGAGGAGCAAGGGAGATATACCGGTACATGCAGAAGTCAGCTGAACACAAAGCCCAAGTGCATGGTTGCTGCAAACTATTGCCACATTCTTGGCTTCAAGCATGTTCACGCTATAATGATGCACACACTCATCTTCCACTGGGAGCCACATTTCGGCCACTAGCAATACTTGTCTTGCACTCACACGTATTTTAAATTATAATGCATGTCTGTGAATTAGCTTGAAATATGCAATAATAATTTTCAAGCTACACGCAGATTTCAAGCTACATGTAATCAATAAACATGCAATTCTAAGCAGCTTATGTGGAACGGTAGTTCTACCGGGTACGGCGATCTGGTAGATGTACTTCTATCGGGTACAGTATGGGGATCTGGTACGTTAAAGAGGGTACGGGAATCTCGTAATTCTACGTCGTCCACACCAGTCTAGAAGAACAAATCGAACATTTTCCGAACCAAACAAACAAAAAGCCCATTATGAGAAGGGAACGAAACCGTTTGGTTCAGAAATTTTTTCGATCTGTTCTTCTAGACTGGTGTGGACGACGTATACCGTATTTTTCCAGTTGTAAGTCGACCTTTTACGACTAAAAATAGAAGGAGAAAGGTGGGGGTCGACTTATAACCGCGAACTATCAGTATCTTACAAAAAATGACCTGCACTGCATGCACGAGTGCACCATGTGTACACATTCTTGCCAGTTTATTGGTCTTTTTCAAGGATTGGGACGTTACACCCTCCAATAAGGAATGTTTACATGATTTGTCGATGTGTTAGTAGCAGGGAGTGGTTAGTAGTGCTTCTTTGGGTGAAAACTTTAAAACGCAGAATTGAGACCTCTAGATACGGGGGTCGACCTATAACCGGTAAAATACGGTAGATACATGTAATACGTGTATTTTCTACTTCGAAGTATGTTTTTATCAACTGCAACACCTCGAATGCCATTCACTGCGAAAGAAATTAGCCGGCAGCACCAGTGCAAAACCAGCACATAAAAGGCAAACTCACCGTTGATTCCTTCTTGTGTCCGCTGCTCAACAGTTTGCACACCACTAGATTGGCCTTGGCAACCTTCAACAAACTAGAAACCTGAACACAAAAACGAGAGAAAGATCAGGCACTTGCACAAGTTGCAGGGACCTGCTCGTATGTATGATTGTGTGATGCTTGCATAGTACAGGAGTTTTCAGTTTTGAGGCACATGTCCTGTAAGGAAAGGAACAACGGCACATACCGCGCTTCCGCGTTCTAACTAAATCCCCGCCAGACTAAACCCCTCTCCCGACTAAATGAATGAATCTCTGTCCACAATGATCAACAATCCCGACTCTCAAATAAATCCCACGGGGCTTGTTTACAGGGGGAAATATGTGACATCACACAGATCGCTCGGTGTTGTTCACAGTCTTTTCTACTGCAGTACAAAAAATAATGATGTTCGAAAGGTTTTAAATAATACCCCCGCATCTCCCCCTGAATAACTCCCTGTCTCGAATAATTCTTCTGGCAAGTCGTTGAGATGAATACTATCCACATTATGATCATTATCGCATCACACCGAGAGGATCAGCAGCCGCCGTCTTACCTCAGGCTCGTCCTGGGGAAGTTTTTCAAACACTTCGCATGCTGCCTTGAACACCTCAGCTCCAGCCGACATAATTGCAGCAGCCTAGATGAAAGCAGCAGAAACCAGCAGAAGAAGAAGCACAGCAGTACAGGAATCTCAATGGACGATCAATGACAGCAGCCTGTTTTCAGACAGCTGCACTTGCAGTAACCAATACATGGAGCGCTTGACAACATGACTCCCGAGTGAGTGTGTGACAGGGATCCAACTTGTACCGATGACCAAAGTCCCATCCCACCCCACAATTTGAAATCATTCCTCTATGTATTGAACAGAATCAACATGACTACCTACCCGGACACCCGTAGTTTGATTTCAAACATCAAACGAACAATACTCACATCCTGCTCCATGACCACACGGAAGTCATGTTTCTCCCGGTACACATCGTATGTCAGCGCTTGTGGACGATCAAACGTATTCAGGGTCTGGAAGCGGTGTGAGAACCGAGTCTGCAATGCAATGCGCGCGCGCGCGCGCGCACACACACACACACACACACACACACACACACACACACACACACACACACACACACACACACACACACACGGACACACGGACACGCAAGCACAAACCAAGCGGCACCACTTGTCCTTGTAGTTCCACTGCTGAGACTATCGTGTGGTGCACAACGGGGGGAGGGGGGGGGGGGCATACTTGCCAATCATACCGGTTTTCCCGGTATACTACCGGATAACTAGGGTAACTACCGGCATGCCGGGGATTTTTGACTTTGATCGAAAAACTACCGGTATTGGCACTGAACCATGAGTGTTCAAAAAAGGTTGTTTTGTGGTGTGATAAGGGCACATGCGGCCCTGCATTTCACAGAATCATACATGCACATGATGTAGGGGCGATCTGACAATGAAGAAACTCAGGTTTTGGTCCCCCAATGAGCAATGGGTTAGAAATGAATAAAAAGAAAGAAAAAATTTGCCAAAAATTGCAGAAAAATACGCAAAAACACTCGAAAATTGCCCCAAGAAAGAGAAAATGGCCGAAATTGGCAAAAACCAGCAAAATAAGGGAAACTGGGTGTGTGACTAGCGGATTTGCTTTGGCTGGGTTGGCAAGTATGGGGGGGGGGGCAGAGAGAGGCAGAGCGACAGGCAACACATGTCTGTTGAATCTGTTGCTGATACTACATTTGTGAACACTGAAGCCAAGTGCAATGACTGGGGTCAGCGGTATGGTGGCGGAAGTGAAATGTGTTGCACTGGAAGCATGAAATAAGTCACTCCACTGTCAAGCACACCATCTTCAGGACAGAGAGAAAAAAAACCATACCTCTTCAGAACCATAGGGATAGTTTGGCTTCACCATTCGTTTGGCACAGTGCATGCCTTCAATGACCTACAGAGGGAAGGAACATGAACACGGGAATGCGGACGCATTGAGAGACTTGTTCTGTTCAGCCGGGCAACACGTGAGCTTTAAAGTACAGCAAACTGGCACAGTACATGTACCACCAAGTGCCCTCCTCCCCCGGTGATTGATTAGCAGTTGTGAGAACCTAATTAGCAGCCATCCGTCAGAGCATGGCTTACCCGCAAGCATCCTCGCGCCAGCAGTTGCTTGCCGTGCACCAGAAAGATCCGAGTTTCCTTCTCACGGTCAACTGAGCGAACAGATCACATGGCACAAACAAGAAAACAAACACACGCACATGTTCAGCAGGCTAAGGGAACAAACGGGATCTCCATCAAACACAGCGTTCTCATTTTTAGAATTGTGTTTCTCAGTCCACGCCGTGACAATTTCGACTTGTGTTTTCTCAGTTCATACCGCGAAAATACAGCCACAAGTCGATCATTCCGGGAGCTCTGTGCACCCGTATGTCACAATTATTTTCGTGACAAGGCAATAGTGGAACATGGACAAATGGGCAAACTGTTTGTTCCCTTTTTTGGATCTAGTGGCTCGATTATTAGATACGATTCCCTTCGCAACGCATTTCGTTGCCATGGTAACCAAATCAAGACCTTTGGCACGTTCACATGGTTAATGTGCGCCAGGACCACAGGCTGGAGTGCAGTAGTTCTTCTGGTCATGGTGGGCATGGTGAAGGAAAAATGTACAAGAAAATATGTGCAAGATGGCAGCCTAGAAATATGACCCGATGAATGGCTTGGGTTAGAGGTTCACTGGCAGTCGGCATACGCCGGAAACTTATACTGCCAAGCATGGCAAGGTTTAGTCATCAAGAAAAGCAAATTGGAGGGCAAGTGAAGTCTGAGCTTCAAATAGCTGTGATTTCCATGGAAACAAGTTCTGTGACTACATCCGCTCATCTCAATGGCACTACATAGTAATTTGGCCAAGTGCCATGCATCTTTGCCTTAAACTAATGAGTAAGGAAAATAACAAGCCCTAGTGACGTGGGGCTTTCGTGACGCTGTTCACGAACGTTATTTTTGGGCGGGGTTCAGAGCGTCCTTGGGTTTGACTCGCCTACTTTGCGGGACGCCCTTGTGTGTGCTCTCCCCGACTGTTCCGATCAAACAAACAAAGAAAGGTTCCAAAGTTGCCTTTGGAAGAGGCTGGCATCTGCTGTCTGTAAAGCTACAACACTTCCAGTTCATTGCATTTTATCAAGAGTACATAAACAGAGTGTGCAATTGTGCATATCAGATCTGAAACAGCGCAGTTCATGCACTACGTCACCCTGATGAGGTCAGAAGCCGCGACTTGCGTACAGCTCAAATTTTCGTGTTTCATAGCCCGGAAATCAGCCAAGTTTACTTGATTTTAGACGTCCTGTTTCAGGATTTCAGTGTTTTTGTGTGACTGTGTACGCTGCGTACATCCACCGACAAGTAAATTCACCAGGCTATCCGTATCCAAAAACCGAAATCAGGACAAACTCAGTGACCTGCACCACCGTGACTGGTTAGGGCGCGTTCAGACTACCGATAAAAAGTGACGGAATGGAAAAGTTACCATGGTGACTTGATCACGTGACGTTACTGGCACGTTACCGGCGGAAAAGTGTTACTGCCGTGGCTGCTGCGGCAGTAAAGTTTTCCCGGCAGTAAAAAAGTGCTCAGGCATGCATGCGCGCTGTGAAAAAGGGAAAATCCCTTCTCAGCGCCGCGGTGAGAGGTGCTAAACTTACGTACCGGTAACGTTAGTTTATCGGTAGTGTGAACGTCCTTCATGGTTTATCGGCATTCACGGTTTGATGGGGTTCACGGTAGTCTGAACGCGCCCTTACGCAACTTTTCACTGTACCTGTGGCTTACCATGCCGTCAGAAATGACGTACTGCACGAATTACGCTCCCACAGGAACCATCCCGAGTTGCACACTCTGGTTTATGTACTCTTGATTTTATGTACAGCTCGACAACAATCATGTCAATGCTTAACCTGCTCATAAATCCTTACTATGATCCATGGCCACGTTTACACGTCCCCACTAGCTACAAGCCTGATGCACATTGTACAGAATCCCGTAGGTGTGTAAATGACGGGTTGGGTGTTCATTGTGTGATACCAAGAGTACATAATCCCCAAGAGTGTGCAACTCCAGCTATGAGGTCCGCGACGGCAGAACTTCACATCACGTGATGAACCCGTACACATTATTTGCACTCTGTGCATGATTGATACAGGGTTGTGCGCAACCCAGCTTTGGGTACAACTTTCTTGTGGTCACTTTGCACTGTTTGCCAGTGTAACCTTTTGAACCATGTCACGTGATGTGAAGTTCTGCCGTCGCAGCACTGCATGGAGGTTGTGCAGGCAGTTGCACACTCTTGGGGGTTATGTACTCTTGGTGGTACTGATACATGTGCATTCTGAAAATTTAGCCCATTTATCAATGGAAGAAAATCACTTTTCCAGTTTCATCACTTCGGATACAGGGAATGACTACTTGTAGCTAGATCCTTCCGGAAAAAGGCTGTCGTATTGAACGCCTTCAGGGCACGTTTAGGGTCCTGTACTTTCAACACCCAGCCGGGTCTACGGGATTTCGTACATCTTTACAAAGTGATTTGAAAAAATTACATGGCATATTATTTTACAATTTGAGTAAAATATCCTTGTCGAGGACGATTCCTTTTTTCTGGTGTAGTGTTTTTATTAGTCTAATAGATAGATTAGTGAGTTGCCATTGTATAGTAGTAGATAGGTATCAGCAGCGTTTTGCGACATCGTTTTGTTCCGCCGTGCTGTGAGTCGTCAATGATAGATTGACACTCATGATTTTGTTATCGATGCAGTAAAATATCTCTCAATGGAGACTAGAAGGACGTCTGAGCGCCTGCGAGCGTGCCCTACGGCAGGCCAGACCCTGAGCTGATCCCCGAGGCCGACCCTCAGTCTACCACACAGTCAGAGGGAGTAGGAAGAATGAAGAGACTCACCCGGAGCAGGTTGCAGTTAGCACCGATGGAACGTGGATGAAGCGCGGCTTCTCATCAATGTTTGGTATGCCAACTGTTGTGTCCTATGAGACAGGACAGGTTCTGGACGTGGAGGTGCTATCAAAACACTGCAGTGGATGTGAAACTTGGAAGAACAGATGGCAAGCAGGAAAGATTTCTAATGCTGAGTACGAACAATGGAAATGTTTTCGGCTGTGCTGGAAATGATGAGCTGCTCTAAGGGTTCACTTGCCAGCTCTGGTCTTTTCAAGTTGGATGAAGAGAAGCAGTATCACAGGAGGAGAAGGTCCAGTGAGGAGCAAAAGTCAGCCAGGAAGAGAAGAAGAGCCATTCGAAAGGGACTGGCTGACACAACACAGCAAGCGGAGGTAGTCACATGCATTGCTGGAGGGTGGCCAGAGGTGAAGGTCAGAAAACAGCAATTTTGGCTGTACGTGCTTTTCATTCTCCAGTCATAAAAGGCAGTTTCAAATCGAAGGCTGACGCTGTTGCTGCATATGAAAATAGCAAACAGCTTTACAGCACGTATGAGTCTGGGCTGGCCAACTCCGGTGTCTTGGTAGAAATCCAGCAGGGCAGGTTGCCAGCACCGGAGTTGCCGCCGCGTAACGTTAGTATGTTGTGTGTTGACGGCGAAGCACTCATAGAGGGTGGTCCATTGTCTTCTCCCAACACACTCGATATGGATATACGATATAGTCAAGGAGCTGATTGTCAATCGCTGCACTCGCCTTGGGGATGATGCACAATATGGAAGCCACGGCACTGTCGGTATGCACCGGGAAGGGCTTTTAAAGCGGGCAGTGGGGCAGATGCATGATAGCTCACTGCCAATGGACGGCCGGCAAGCATCGCAGTTGCTCTCTATGATTGGTGTACGCGTTTCGCACATGACGTTGCACACTAAGGTCAAAGTATGGGAGCAGCAAAATGATGCTTGCATAGTCACACCACACAAGGCCGGAATCCAGTCGAAAATTCCATATCGCTTCGAATTGGAGTTAGCGAAGTACGTCCAAATGCTGCGTGCTTTCTTCTGGTCGACTGCCGGTCATGGCAAGTACTACCGTTTGTCGTGAACCGAGGCTGTCACCCGCTGCATATCTGAACCCTCTTCCGCCAGCAGTTGTATCTCCAGCACATCTCTCCCGGCACGAGTTTCCACGCTGACCACTACAGCTATGCAATCAGCATGTTCTGGTGTGGCCAACCCTGCTGGGGTTCTTCTGACCGAGCAGCCACGTCCATACCTGTCCTCATGTGTTATGTCTTATGTCGATGCTGCGCCCCGGGGTCACAGCTCACTTCCATCTTCTCGAGTGTGTGTTTTGTCGGCCATTGCGCCACCGTCCGGAACTTCATCTTCTGGTCCAGCACCGAATCAGTGATTATCGAATTAGTGCCACTCCGTGACTATCATGGTATCCAGTAATTTTGTAAGGCTTCCATCCGAGTTGTCGTGAACATTTGAGAACTTGAGTGGAATAAACCATAGCTATGACCTATTGTGAATTGCCGTATTTATATCATATTTATTGAGAATCCTACAACGCCCATCTGATTTATCTGCCTGTAAATTGATTCAGACCTATCTCGATGTCCCATTGCAATTTTATTGACAAATTCAGGTGCTGCGTGTTGGTGATAGGTCCTATTTTACTGATTTGTAAAATTGTGTACACACTTTTATATGAGTGGAAATTTGTATGTAAAGTAACCTCATGCTGTGTCTCTAATTTTTGTGGTGTGAGCTCGAGAAGACTCTACGCGGATAGAGGGCATGCAGATTGACAGAATGAGACCACACACCCTTCAAAATTCACCAAGGGGGGGGGGGGGGATAATAGCCTTTTTACTTTGATGTAATTTTTTTACAAATCACCTCGTACAAGGTGTATAAGGCATATTCACCGGGGTATTTTACTATTTTGTTATGGGAATATTTATGTCCATAATTATGCGAACGATTTTGTTTGCATAAAAGCTGTGTACAGTTGCATCTTAGTGGCCTGGTTTGCCATTGGGAATTCTTCAGAGCATGAGTACAGTTGCTGTAGTCTTGCTAATACGGACAGCCATAGTATACGCAAGAACATCACCCACTTGTTCAACAGGGCCATAGATAAGCTACCCTTCACCAGACTGGTTATTGGGGAACGTGTCATCAAATACTGTCCATGTCTAAAAAAATTACTTGTACGTATATGTTCAGCACTCTTACCCTTTCTTGCAGTCTTGGCCTTCTTACTACCTTTCACACCTGAGCAATACAACAAGGCCATGTACAAGTACAGAAAATAAAATAAAAATTTCCCCCAACCACTTCGTATAGTCAGAAAGGCACACCACATATCCTGGATGCTGGCATGCTTACAGGATTCCCCCGCTACAGGGCATCATGCGACCAGAGTGATCAGTTTGAACCTCGTCAACAACAACCACCAGATGGTTGGGCATTGTGATGGGACTGATGGCCATAAAAAACAACCCGTTCCAACGTAACCAGAAGCTGGTTAGGCATCCGGGTTTTCTTTGTACTTATCAAAGTACATGGGAGGTGTGTTGAAGCTCAGTCAGCAGTGCTGGCGTTGAGCCACTATTTATACACTGTGCCTCCGCACAACACTCACCCGCCACTTCACTGCGTTTTTGCACCTCCATCGCGGCCTTGAAACAGCCACCCATCCAACCAAACAAGAACTCTGCGTACCTGCAAGCAATGGGAATACATGTGCAAAGGTAGCAGAGAAGAGACTCAGGAATGCATGGCACAGTGCAACATGTATCAAATACAACTAGAGGAGGAAACAAAACCAGTCAATTAACTTTATTCGTCCTTAATCTTATTGCAAAATAGTATTTGTCTATTGTTGATAAGGGTTTGGTCAAAAGTACCATCATTTTCATGCTTTTTTCGTTCCGTGTGGGCCTCCCTGGTCATCCCATCAAAATCGTGCACGGAAAAGCTCTGCTCAACTTCAAATGCACAGGATTCATATTACATTTTGGCGCGGGTGGGCACTTCAGCCAGCAAATCGAGGATCCAGCAGCGTAGCTCATTCTCATCTACACTGCTTGACATTAATTTTGTAGCCACACTTCACCGTCCTCACATCGGAAATAGAACCTGTTATGACGGGGGGGGGGGGGGGGGGGTTACTGAGTGAATACACGCCTGCGCATAGGCTGTTTGTCGGCACTGCTATCACTCTAGTCTGTCTGGGTGCATGGCAGCTCTGACAACACGCACCATACGCTTCAGAATGATTATAACATAGTGCATGTAGTTCCACTGTCAAGATAACAAACCCCCAGAGCAGCTCACCAGAACACATAGTGGTACTCGTCAACACTGTAGAGCTCCAGCTCAAACGGCAGTAGAATGTAGTGGATTTGAACTTGAAGTATGAACCACAAGACGTATGCAGAGAAGTAGCCATTGTGCTGGTACTGAGGGACACACCCACCCACACGCACGCACCCACACACGTGCACACACACACACACACACACACACACACACACACACATATTCCAGAACACAGTAGCACAGACATATGTCCATCAAATACATCTGCATGGCCCCATGACAGAAAATCCTGACTTGGAAAAGAAGTGAAGGAAAGGCTTTTTGCGATCTCCAATATCTACAGCACCGACAGCATGCATAAAGATTCAATGTATCTTTATGCATGCCGCCATGTCAATGTACAAGGATGTACTTCGAAGTACATGTAGTTGCGCAATCCATAGCTCTTCAAACACCAATTCGCTAGCAGCAGCAAATGCACTCTGTCTTTAGTAGACTCTTTACCACACTGTACATCACAGTACGCCCATCATCATGGATAATTCAATAGGTCACCACAAGCCATACCTCAGGATCACTGGTGGCAAGCAGTCGAGTGAGTGTCAGGTCAAGCTTCTCAGCCTGCAGCAACCAAACAGAGTAGAATACAAGGGTCTGAGAAGTGAATGGACAGGCAAGCTGGTACATCAGTACATTTTCATGGATATACACTTATACCGGTAGCAGCACATGTATACGGAGATTAGTAGTATTATAGTTATACATGTACATGTAGTAGATCTACTGTGTGACATACATGTACATAATAGTGTGACATACTCAGTACAGTCGAATGTCACTTATCCGGTCGCCAGTCATCCGAGCACGTCGGTTATCCGACAAGCCCGGGAGTGGTAATTTTATGACTCTCAACAGTAAAATTCTAAAAAAATGTATAATTATTATACGGTGTAATATGCACTTACTTGAAGTAGATGTGGTCAAGTATGCTAACATGTATGTGTACATAGAGCAATTCATGAATATGCATGAATATATTTGGGTATTGTGTACATAAATCAGTGAAATCCAGCCATATAATTATGCACATAAAAAATGATACTGAAGTATCAGTTATCCAACATATCCAGTTATCCAACATGCCTGATTCCTGAAGTGGTCGGATAAGTGACATTCGACTGTACGTGTACATGCATGTACACACCTGCATACACATACATGTACATGTGTTACTCTGATTGCTGGCAATGTTGCTACAGCGCTGGAACTGAGCACGAGTATACTTCCAGGGTTACACGGCACACAGAGTTACGGTATAAATTCCAAGAGCAACAACAAGCAACTTCCAGATGCACACACCTGCTCCTGCAACGTAGCCAACTTGCCCATCACACCCACTAGCTTCTGTCGATGCCATGAACGCTGCATGCATAGTACATGGACGATTTCGTCCACTACCTGCACACCGAAGACAAACAACACCAACCAAACTACATGAAATGCAAGCCTTAAAAAAATGTCACATCAGATGGTCAGCTCTCCTTTTATGTCCAGAGTTGGAAATTCCTAAGCCATAATCAAGAACTAGAAAATCGACAGAATGTCACACTATAAATGCCAGCAACACAGGGAGTGACGCGCAACAGGTCGAGATCCATGGCCCAGGGACACATACCTGACCCAGCAGACCGAAGAATTCACGAAGATGGGGCAACACTTCCGGCTTGCTAGATATACTGACTCTACAAATCCAAAAGAAGGAATCAGCAAATCCCGAATTACAATCATCACAATGGAAATGAAGCTTTCAGTGACAACCCGGAGAAACTACAGTGCTGCTCAATGAAATCTAGTTGAGTCACTCAAGTATGCTGCGCCGGGCGTTGCGCAGCCCTAGACCTGCAAACACTGGGCTGCGGAATGGTGCACGGCGCAAACTTGACTTGCGTGATCGGATTTCATTGAGCAGCACTGGAGTAAAATTCGCAAGTTTGCATCACACTTCAGCACTGCGCATCTCGTCGCAAAAGAAAGCTTCTGTGAATCCCGCTTGGGGAACCAGCTACAACATGCCATGATGGCTTTCTCAGCACCAGGCAGAAACTTATGCTGAAGATGAGCTGCTTTCGCCCACAGTACTCCAGAAATTGTTCATCGCCAAATCTTGCTAGCTGCTAGTAGATATTTTTCCAGGCAGTAATATAGTCAAGAAGTTATAGTCAAGGAAACAACACATAATCCCTATTAGCCAGAATAAGTTGTAACTGACGATGCGCAAAATTCAATCTAATGTAATCTAACCACTAACCATGCATCGACTAAGGCGCCATGCGCGAACTGATGCTGGTGGTGGTGGTGAGAAGGAGAGCTCTGTGCCAGAGTAACGCGCAGCTCAGCGCATGTGGGCAGACGTGTATTTACCGCCGTATTGCCAGGTGTGTGTTTTACCACCATATGAATCAACCATAATGTAGAGATGCCGAGACAAAAACCGTGTGGCCGAATGCCACAGACAGTGCCCGTGTTCTTATGGCCGATATGTGAGAGCCCAGGGAAAACAAAGAAAAGACTCTAGCTGCCAAGCTCGATCCATCAATGTCTTGCTGCATTCACAACTAATCAGCGAAGTAATTTAGAATAGTTCTAGTAAGGAAGACACGAGAGCTAAGAGAGAGAGGGGAAGCTATGTTGCAACTCCGAGTTTCACGTAGTCACGATCACCAGGTGTGTACTGAAGTCGTAAGAAAGAAGAACTTCAGCCATGTGCTTGGATGTACATGCACGACATCTATGTGTTTCTATAGTTGCATGGACACATACACACGCGTGCATGCACACACAAACACAAACACACACACACACAGCATAGGCTCTTACTTTGCAATCAACGACGGTGGATTACAGAATGCACGGCAGTGGTCGCGCAGTCTTTGCTCACACTTCTTCATGTCAAACATGAAGAAGAAATGCTGGGGAGGCAGTGCACAACAGGCACACATAATACAACCAGCATAAACACACCCACACCCACACACGCCCACGCACACGCCACGCACATGCACACACACACACACACACACACACACACACACACACACACACACACACACACACACACACACACACACACACACACACACACACACACACACACACACACACACACACAGAAAATAGCAACACAGGGTCAAGTCCCGTGAATCCGACAAAGAGGGTGATTGGGACCGACAAGACGGTCCAAAAACTGCCCATTCCAACTGTGCCCAACAACAATGCTTGCAGCAAAGAGTCTAAAATAGGATGCAGCTCACCAACAGATAGGACCTTGATATCACCGATGGCAGGGGCCGGCGCCATGAGAATTGCCAAAAGCAGTCCTGTAGCAGCAACAGCAACAAATTCACATTTTACACCTATATGTGTGTGCATGCACACACATATGCATACGGGTACATATACGTAAACGTTCATAGCAGACTCAGCGGAGGACGTTCAGGTTGGTTGTAACTCTGAGTTTCATGCCGCTAGGCAATCATCAGACAATTCTATAGAACGTAAACGTTCTATAGAATTGTTGCGAGCTGAGAAAAGCGTACCATAAAACACCACCTACGGTTTACAACTTGCAGGAAAAGCCATCAATACGACAACTGCTTCTCCTCTGATGAGTTCCCGTTATCTTCGTGGAACGAAAACAAGACTTGTCAAGAGTAACACCTACTTGCTATCGTGGAGTGCGGCTGGTGAACTGTTTGTGCTGTGGTCTGCAAGCGTCGCGTGGTCTCGTCGGGTCAAATGAAAAAAAACCCCTATTACTATGGATTGCTGGACGTAGTGAAGATGGAAAGAAAGAATTATCTCGATAGACATAACCACTGTAAAACGGGTAACGTTTGCGACAATAAATGTTTGCGTTTTACAAATTGAGACTGGTTTGCGCTGTTCAATGTTGGCGATTGAATACATATTGAATACATGTACATACATAGTGAATACATACTTCTTTGAACTTTACATGGCGCGAGTTTGCGTTGTTCAAAGTTTGCGATTCGGGGCCTCTCGCAAAATTCGCAAACATTTTTACGTCGCAATAGTTACCCGTGTTACAGTACTACTATGGATTGCTGGACGTAGTCAGGCTAGTGAAGATGGAAAGAAAGAAGGATCTCGAGAACAGTGAACCCATGCCAGTGCTAGTAACTTACCAAACACGCTGATAGACTTGGCAAGGCCACAATGGATATGGTGGATTTTAGCTCAGGTATAATATTAGAATAGAATTCGATAGCCTACAGGGACAGGGAAGACAAGATGACAAGTACAGGTGAAGAACAGTCAGGCCATCTGCTTCGCAGAGTTCTACTGGATTGCGCGCGCTAGATTAGGTTCACGCTGGACAACATCGTCACAGCACGTCAATAGTAATAATTATTCCCGTAGCTATGCAAAAGACGTTACTTCAGTAACGTCTAGCGCTAACCAGGGTCCACACAGCTTTAATTCCGTGTTTGTGTGTTTGTGCCGTCGGCATGCCTGGCGCTATCCCGTACCTGTCCCGTACCATCAAAGACAGCTGGTCACAATATTCCAATCGGGCTTTCAAATGCAAGATCATAACGTGAAGCAACTTGGAAGAATGAGTATGTATGCGAAGTGTATCAGGGGAATGCATGCAGGGCGATAGTGCAGCTTCGAATCCTAGGTTGTCTTAAAAAAAATAAGAGAAATGAAAAATTTATAACATCCCTATGCTTTTTTTTGCAAAAAAGCATAGCGTAGGGCCCTGAGCTTCCAAGCTCTCTCGTTGACGTGAAATTATTTTTTTAATTACTCACTTCAGTACGTGATAACAAAGTCGGCGATCGCGACGACGGGGGAAGAAGCCGTTCATTGAGCAATGGTTCAAAGCCCAGCATCAATGCTGGAATACACACAAAACCATAAAACACCAATAATTATTATTTTACACTTGGCGATTCGAATGTGAAGAAATCTATGCAGTTGATATTAGCACCACAGTTGGACGGCACACATTGAAATGAACACTGCCATACGGTTGGTACAGCAGCATAGAACTGTTCTGAGCTAGAGCAGGTAAGACAAGCAGCAGCATGCACTGCAATGTCACCGCATCATTACAAGAAGATGTGTTGTCAGCACGCAGCACGACCAACACGGAGAAAATAAACTAGTAGCTACATACTGTACTTCTGTCACTGTGAGTGGATAATACCGCCGACCCATTCAGAACACCACGTGTGACTACCCGCACACCATGTCAGTTCAACGCCACCCAATTCAGAGAAACAAGCTCTTCACACCGCAAGGGAAACGCACCACAATGGCTACGACACACACACACACACACACACACACACAAACTCACCATTCTTAGGCGGTCCATCCGCACGCTTAATGCCGAAGTCCAGCGTCTTGTTCAGTTCTGGCAGCAATTCCATCGCCGACTGTAATGCCTTTGTTGCCTCTGCCCGAACTTCATCCTAACACGAGAAGGCAAGGACAGTTGCAACTATCACATCTTCAACAACAAGCAATACAGCACAGTTGCCCAAGTATCTGCACATGTATGCGTGTGTGAGGTACACACACACGCGCCTTAGTATAACACAGCTGCATATACCAAGGTGGCAGTGGCATGCATACCCACTGGCTGCTGTAACATGTGCCACATGCACAGGCGAGTACAGACAAGCAACACAAGCAGGTGTCACAGAACTGACTAGGGTTGTTATCTGATGTTATGACAAGTCCATGTCTTCTTCTGCCTCAAAGTGATTATGATCATAGAGGGGAGAGCACAGTTCAAAGGGGGGGGGGGGGGGAGAGAAAAGTGGTAGGATGACGGTTACAAGGACCAAACTCAGGGCACGAGAGCGGCATTGTAACAAACGTGACAGTACCAGTTTCACCAAGTAGAGACAACAACACATAGGAGGAAGAACACCAACAAATGGTGTCGCCCCATCTATTAGCCTGGGGACAGCCAAGGTACAGTATGGGAAGGAGATGATACCATCCACATGTAGTAGCTTTCACACATTTCCTGAGGGAGAACATGGTCACAACCTTGGGTGCTCCGACTCTGATAAGCTCACCTGCTGGTTTTCTGAGTGCATACAGAAACCGAAAAGGTGCTTGATGAAGCGAATCCTCGCCAACAAAGCACGGACTTGATCCAGCTGCGAGAGAGCAGAGAAAACCCACAAATAAAGCACAAAAGCCACAGTGAAGAAAACCTTTAGTACGGCACTCTGTCCTCACTTTACACTTTGTACACACTATACTGTTCCTAGGATAAAAACTTCTATTCGGCCATGTCTTGCGGTTGGACGGATACGTCCCAGCGCATGCAACAATGCGGGCCTACTTCAGTGTGCGGGACCAGACAACCGGCTACAGAGGCCGACCAAGAACAGAGCTGCCGACCGTCCTACACAATGATCCGACGAGTATCGGGAGGTCGCTCAACAACCGTGCAGACCTCTGCAGATTGCGTGAAATTGCGCGCACGAGATCCGGGTGGCGTCAACTGGTTAATGATATCATCGAGAAGAAATATGTGTACCACTGTGAACAGGTCTAACTTACGGCTACTTGCAATGTGCTATTACTGCACCAGCGTGGTGCATTGTTAAATGTCTTTGAATAGTATGCATATGATCAAGTGTTTGTTCACCTATATTTTGCCCTTTTTTCGTTTTCTTTTCTCTTTTCTCCCCTTCTCTTCTGGTACCCTGCCTAACATTGGGTGTGGCCCAAGCGAAGGCTAGGCTGAAGCCGATGCCAACGCTAAAGGGCTGATGATGATGAGTATAAAAACTAACTTCACACACATCCCATATCAGCTGCTGCAATCAAGCACTGACTTGTAAGCCGAGGCTGCATTCAGTGCCACTCGGGACTGAAACGAACAATCTGATATGCACCAGGGAAGAAACATTAACAGCATCATTGTAAACTGTCTGACGCGCGACAGCAGAACAGAACCAGCAAGAGTGCATCGCCACATCACTCACATTGTCAGCATTCGCTCCAGTACAACAGTGTGCTCCGCTGAAGGGCTTGCACTGTGATTGTGGGTTGGACTGAATGGAAGACAACACATAGAACACACCAACCGGTAGACAAATTACGGCGCAAGTAATCGTGCATGGGAACAGCTACTTTTCCAAGTGAGTAGTCGAGCGATAGAGAGAAAGAGGACAGGGGATGAAACGAGTGTGTGTGTGTGTGTGTGTGTGTGTGTGCGCGCGCGCGCGCGCGTGTGTGTGTGTGTGTATGTGTGTGTGTGTGTGTGTGTGTGTGTACGTGCGTGTGAGTGTGTGTGAGTGAGAGAGAGAGAGAGAGTTACATTTATAAAGACAGGTAAGTCTAACACATGAGGACTGAGACCTCTACACCAGAGTTTTACGCCTAAAGCAGGTGCATGATGTAACAAGCAGGTTGAAATACGATTCACCACTCTTGAGCAGACAGTGGACAGATTAACTTACAAAGTGGCGAATCTGGCGATTCACATCAACTTCCACATCCTTCAAAGTAGCTACAAAAGCATACATCAAAAAAAGAAGAGTAAGTAGGATACAAGAATCAATTCTACAAACAAGGCTGCCTTAAGTCATCCACAACATGTTCCACAACAAAGCAAGACAATTGGTGGGGAATTATACCATGTCCGTTTTGGGCACCCATAGAAAATCCATGGATGAGCAATTGAGGCGACTCACCCATTGCCCGGCGATCCGGCAGCTCTCGTAAGAGATCAAAGCCAAGGTAGAGTGACGTCTGTTGATCTTCCTGCGCGCCGAGACAGACACAGACACATACAGACACAATACTTCTTGCTGTTGTTTGCAATTCCGAAGCTTGTGTATTGAAAGAATAACGACTGATATTAGGGTTGTATCTGACTGGACTCTGGGAACGTGTGGCCTGTGTGACTAATATATGAGAACTACTTGCAGTGTATGGCTGGTATCTGAGAACTACTTGCAGCATGTGGCTGGTATCTGAGAACTACTTGCAGCATGTGGCTGGTATCTGAGAACTACGTGCAGCGTGTGGCTAGTATCTGAGAACTACCTGCAGCGCGTGGTTGGGGTCTGAGAACTACTTGCAGCGCGTGGCTGGTATCTGACAACTACTTGCAGCATGTGGCTGGGATCTGAGAACTACTCGCAGCGCGTGGCTGGTATCTGAGAACTACTCGCAGCGTGTGGCTGGGATCTGAGAACTACTTGCAGCGCGTGGCTGGTATCTGTTGTTTAATTAGAGCCTTGACTGGTATTAGAGTCTTACATGTACATGAATATATAATATTTACGACTGTCACCTATCAAGTGGAAAGCCAGCGTCAACGAACGTCCCCCACCTTGCCAGCAGTCACCAGCAACTGACTTACATCTTCATGGACACTTGATGCGATAAGTACTTCACGGACGTAGTAGCAGCACTTCAACACTCCGATACAAGCAGCCTGCCGAAAAAAGAGAGGGGGGGGGGGGGGTACAAAATTAGAAATTGTTCGAAGCGTAACATTTATGGCACGCATATAAGATGCCATGTTCACGATACTGGAGAAGCAGGTTTCACTCCACAGCACAAAAGAATCATGTCAGTGTAAGCATGGTAAGAGCGTGTCCGCTGCTAAAAAAGAACCATCAGATATTTACACCAGCAATGCTTTGGGAGAGTTCAAAATGGTACTAGACCTGAGGCATGAGCAGGCAACGACATATTCAAACAGCGGAAACGTGAACTTCAAATAATGCATTACAGTGCAGTTGTTGGGGTAATCCCATCCGTGTCAGCAGTGTCTGAGGAGAGCTATGACATCTCGGAGCACAAATCGATGGTTTAACATGCACCTCTGGTAATGGAGAATTGTAGATTATTCATTCGTTCGTTGAATCGGTATAAGAGCGTTGAATCGGTATAAGAGCGAATAATCGTTTGTGGAAACTGTGTGATACGCTACATCACTAGTAGTCACACTGTACTTTTCAAACATAGTGTACCAACTCCACATTCACTAACTACTGCATTCAGCCATTCACTGAGTAGCTACAGTTCAGAGAAACACACTCACCTTTATAAGCGCATCTTCCACTGTAGACACATCATGTACGTAGTAGCATGTGAAGACAGTCTGCGCCAGATTATGACCACTCAGCCATGTTGCCTGCAATATCACAGTTGTGCACATTCGCGCATGTGCACACCCACATACACGCACAGTGACACACACACCCACACACGTGCACACACACACACACACACACACACACACACACACACACACACACACACACACACACACACACATACATACATACAGTGACACGCCCACATCCACACCCAAACACACCCACACGCACGCACACCCCATGCACACCAACACCAATGCAATTGCGTCCACAAATACAATAGTTACCCGGCGTGACGGAATTATATACTGGATCAGAGCTTTTAATTTCCACATGGACTGTTATAACAGGCTACACACCGACAAAAAAACCTTTACAATCGGTCTGGAAAGTCTACCTCAGCAGCCTGCAAGTATAGATGATGTAATTCTACATTGGAAAGCAAGTGCCACTAGATGAGCTCATCAGAGAGCAGAGAGAACACGCAAAGTATAATGCGGACTCGTACGATACACGGTGTACAACATTACATGCATCATGTTTAGCAATAATCATGCAGTGCAGCGTCGACAGAAACATAAAAGCAGAGTACACGATGCCCGTAGTTCGTACCGTGCAGGCCAGCAGCTCGTCAATGATTCCCAGCTGCTCTTCAGGTGAAAAGTCAGAAACTTTCAATTGATCCTGTAGCCAAGACCAAAACACACAATCTGATTGGCAATTACATGCTATGGGATGTGGAATAAACAAAATGATTCACCGTATATAAAGCCTTGTGTAACAGGATGGCCAGGGTAACCCGAACCTGAGTCAAAGACTCGTTGCCAATCCCACATACCATTGCAGGACGAGATACCCAGAGAAATACGACAGGTCAACCGCCATGATGCAAGCCTTGAAAACATGAAATACTCAGTGAGTGCATTGTATGCAACGATTAGCCCCCAAAATAGGAAAGCCGACAGAGTGAAAGTGGTACATGTACATGTAACAACGTGTGCATTCTAAGTTGTGAGAAATAAAGAACAAACCTTTCTGGCTTCCTGGACACTAAGTACTTCGCGATCAATGCGATTCTCCTGGCAGAAGGTATCCATCTTAGGATCCATGATTTCCACAGCATTCATTGCCTCACCAAGTCCGAAGCATTCCTCGTGAAGTAAGCTGCCTAGGGGAAGCTCTGGAGGGACAACCACATGCACGCACGCACACACACACACGCGCACACGCATGCACGCACACACATATACACACGCATAACACAATATTGTGATGACACATTGGGTGCGTTCTTATATTCTCTTAGTATTTCTCTAGCTTCTCGGAGAAGAAGAAAACAGAAGTCGAAGAAACTGGTATAATCTAAGAATGGGTCTGGAAGAATTCGGAGATATTTTGCACATGTCAAGCAATATGAAGCGCCTTGAATGACATGAATGTAGTATGCGCTGTGCGTATGCGAAAAGGGAAATGCGTACACTCATGATCAACACGTGGCTTTTAGCCTAGTTCGCATGTGCTGATCCCAAACCACGGGAATCTCCAAGTTTCAACCACCTCTGAAGCTTGGAGAGCTTGGGAGAGCCTCCTAAAATTCGGAGAGGATATAAGAACAGCTCTCGGAGAGTCTCCAACTTTTCGGAGAGGATTTAAGAACGCACCCATAGTCTCATTACACAAATTACAAAACAAACTCGCGAAATACATTACACCATAGGCATCTAAAATCTCCTGGCTATCCTCCACATGAGAAAGTAATCCATTACTAGTACATCATGTTTTAGTCGTACATAGTCAATCAAACAAATGTACACAAACGCACCAAAAGTCAACTATGACAGCCATGACCAAAAGTGCCCCCCCCCCCCCCCCCACACACACACAAATCAAAGTATTTTACTTGTGATCTTGTCCAAAGCCAAGAGTGCTGCGGTGTTCAGGATATAATACCGTATGAGTGCAAAATTACAACCAAATATAGGAATCAATAAAGTAGTTCACACACCTTGAGCGGCATCACGGAATTGTTGGGTGATGTCAACCCAGTCACCTGCATACGGCGCAGCACAAGACACACAGAGAGAGAGATTAAGGAGTGTGTGTGTGTGTGAGAGAGAGAGAGAGAGAGAGAGAGAGAGAGAGAGAGAGAGAGAGAGAGAGAGAGAGAGAAGAGAGAGAGAGAGAGAGAGAGAGAGAGAGAGAGAGAGAGAGAGAGAGAGAGAGAGAGAGAGAGAGAGAGAGAGAGAGAGAGAGAGAGAGAGAGAGAGAGAGAGAGAGATGTACATAATAGACTAAGAGCCAGAGATAGATGAACAGATTGAGTCAGAGATACGGAGGTATATAGCTAGATAGCTCCCCTCACCCAAGTGACCACCCACATCACCACTGGGTCACGGCAATTTTTCTGCGCCGAATCAAGACCTACCAACAATCACCAAATTATGGCTTATATACTGGCAAAGTGCCACTGAGCGTGTCACAAGTCGCCTGGTGATTGTATTGAGCAAGGAACTCGGAGTTGCAACAAACTCTACAAACCTCCGACGTGCCTTTTGTATGTAGATATAGATACGTTGAGATACAAGTAGATAGATAGATAGATAGATAGATAGATAGGTATAGACAAGAGTACATAACCCCCCAGAGTGTGCAGCGCCTGATCCAGCTCTGCATAGGGTCTTGGTCGAGCGTAATCGGATCTTTGCGTCATAATACCGTACACATCTGAGGGGAACCCGGGGAGTCGCGAGTACTCTCGGATCAAAAACAACGGTGCCCTGCCTCCAGACCGGCCTTGTGGTTGTGTGGAATGTACGCATGACATCAGAAGATCCGATTACGCACGACCAAGACCCTATGCAGAGATGGATCAGGAGTTGCACACTCTGGGGGGTTATGTATCTTGGTAGAGGACCGCTAGAGGACCGCCAGATGCAGTTTTTGATGGGTCCGGCCACACCATAGCCTCTTTCATACAGTTTGTGTATATTATAGTGGGTACACATAACCTCCTCAACATAAAACATGCGTTGGTGGCTAACAAGTTGGCCCGGTGGCGACCTGACCAACCGGATCAGTTCCGGCGGGCCTCAGATAGATAGATAGATAGACAGATAAAACAGAGAGGTTCCAGGCTGTCCAAGAGAGTGCTCAATACCAAGAGGTAGAGCTGGTTCAAACAATAGGAGGACAGAGAAAGTGCTTTTACTCCGAGTTTCACGCACTAAGCGATCATCAGAAGATCGCTTAGTGCGTGAAACTCGGAGTAAAAACACTTTCTCTGTCCTCCTATTGTTAGATAGATAGATACTATAATTAGATAGATAGTAGATAAATGGATAGATAGATGGATAGATAGATGGATAGATAGATGGATAGATAAATGGATAGATAGATGGATAGATAGATGGATAGATAGATGGATAGATAGATGGATAGATAGATGGATAGATAGATGGATAGATAGATAGATGGATAGATAGATGGATAGATAGATGGATAGATAGATGGATAGATAGATGGATAGATAGATGGATAGATAGATGGATAGATAGATGGATAGATAGATGGATAGATAGATGGATAGATAGATGGATAGATAGATAGATAGATGGATAGATAGATGGATAGATAGATGGATAGATAGATGGATAGATAGATGGATAGATAGATGGATAGATTGATGGATAGATAGATGGATAGATAGATGGATAGATAGATGGATAGATAGATGGATAGATAGATGGATAGATAGATGGATAGATAGATGGATAGATAGATGGATAGATAGATGGATAGATAGATGGATAGATAGATGGATAGATAGATGGATAGATAGATGAACACCTCTGAAACTCACTGTCCTACTCGGCCTCATTTCCACGCCCAATTTCGGAAATTTTATGCACAAAGTAATCACGGCCTTCATTGGGTATATATCATGCTAGCCCAACGTGTTTTTAAAACCAGGGGTCTATACTGCCTTTTGAAACAACATATTGCACGAGACCAAACGGCTGGGAAATTTACCCAATCTGTGATGGCTTGCACGTTCCATTCAAGCACTGTGTTACAGGTTTTTTTTAAATCCACAACATTTGCTTAGTTCACGTCTAGCTAGCTGGCTTGGGATCTCTCGCATTCAGTGTTAAAATGTCAATTGTCATTCAGTCTTCAGCTATTCTTGCTGTGTGAAAATTGACTTTTAGCGTGAAACTGAGAGTCACGACAACTAACTGGTATGTTGTCCATAGTGTGTGCGTGAATATAGATTGAATGCACTCTACACAATTAGACACGAACCTTCAATTTTCGAATCCATTCCTCTGTTCGGGTGTGCAACAGGGATTCCAATTCACAACTACATTTCACCAGCCATTGCACAGCCTTCCGAAAAACCAACCAGGTTGAAAACAACAGTACGGAAAGGATAAGAATACTAGGTAACAACAGTTATAAAACGCCTAATGAAGACGTGAGTCGTGATGTTGGTAAACACCGCGATGAATAACAAGTGGACCAAGTAATCAGGTATTCCACCAATACGAATTTGAAAATACACGTACACACAACTAATAATACTTTTACTTCATACTTCATGCATTTTGATAATGACATGTGGGCGCTTGACGTCATCTTCTGCGTGTTCTCTATGGCGACCGAGAGTGGCGTCACTGACGCGATGGGCTGTTTTTCATATCTATCATGATTCATATCATGTTCAAGTAATTTTCACAATTTTTTGGAAGGGGGAGCTACAAGCGCAGCAAGTGATGAAGCTGTTTGCCTGCCTGGCAGAAGGACCTCTCGAAAGTCAAAGCTCTACTAGACTACTCTCTAGTCTAGCTTCACTGTCTTTCCGGCACGGGATACGTGTGTAGTGGGTCGAATCTACTTGATCACACCCAGCCAACCAGAGATTTCTGCGTCCCTATTTTCAGACTTGTGACTGTGTAGACTAGGTAGACAGTAGAATAGAAGAAGTATTTACAGAACGGGACTTAGTGACCATGAGTGTGGAGAAGGCCCTCGCCCATTTGCAGTCGGGCCTTTCCGCCATGAGCGGTGGACACTCGCGTGCTTTCCAGAACCTGATACGCGCCATTGGAGAAGCCAAAACGCGAGATGTAAGTAAGCGTTTTGCGTAACTCCTGTCTCGTAATCAATTTTTTTGGTATACCCCCCCCCCCCCCCCCTAATTTAATTCCTCTGATTGTGTAGTTATCGGCTTTTGGAGGACGTCTTTTCCCTTCTGAATAGGTCGCACAGCACGATATTAAAAGGAGACAAGAGCACAAAAAGAAGGTTTACAAATGCCCCTTCACGAAATGTGTGATTTCACATGAGACGTACAGGTACTTTTTTTAAACTACTTTAGGTATTAAACATGGTGTACTCTCCAAGCACGGAAATACAATTCCCACTAGGGTGGACGCTTTTAAGCGATTTCACTGGTTCACTGGTTCACTGTTTGCTAGTACACTGTGGTCTGCGTTGGACGGACACTGCCATACACTGCCATACACTGCTCTGGCAAACCGTCAGCACATCAGGGGCGTAATGTGTCAGCTAGGGTGTGACTTGCGCTGAAGTTGTAGGTGTGGAGAGTAAGAGAGCTAGTGGAAAGGGAAAGGAAGGGGGAGAGACGTACGTAGCTGTATGTGTGTGTGAATGTCACTGTGAAATACATGTATAACGTTATACTTGTGTGGAGCTGCAGCCATACATGTGACAGCAAAGGTGAAGACACATTGTTGCGACGTACTATGCAACCAGCTAGCACGCACATATAAAGCACATAAATATTGTGTCATCAAGTGCGACAAGTCACATCTCGGTCAATGTTGCAATGTCAAAGTCAATTACCACACCCACACACTTCACACTGTGTTCAGGACCCAGGCACAATCCCTGCTTACAGCAGGAGGCTTCTATCATGAAGGAGCATTGCTTTATGTACATGTAGAGATGGTGTGCGCTAAGGGACAACTGTGTGGTTGGGAAGGCCTCTTTTACAGAATAAAACGAAATTTGTAAAAACTGTGTGGTGAGAATTGATGCATCATTGATGGGTGTAGAGGACTAGAGGTGCTAACGTGATGTGGGTTGTGTCATGCATACTAGTAGTGCTCACCCCATGGTGTGCCGGGTGCTTGAATTCCTGCCACTCTGCACTGTTCTTCAAAGCGCTTCCTGACGGTCCTCTCCATCTCACCAGCATACTCTTCAGCGTAAAGGAACCTTATGGGATTATAACATTTAGTAGCCTCTCCCCTTTCCCTTTTAACTAGCTCTCTTACTCTCCACACCTGCACGTGTAAGGCGCCGGTCACACATGCATGGCGCTTTTGCGACACCACCAAAGCTGCACCACAAAAGTTGGGATATCCCCGGATCACCATGGATACTGCGCCTGGCGCCACTGGCGCCACGGCGGCAATCTCAAAAGCGCCACAACCAAAAAATTGGTGGCGAAACACAAAAGCGGTAGTGCAACTTTTGCGGCGTTGTCGTTGTTGGATCTCTTGGATCTTGGAAAAATTAGTTTTTCATCTCTCGTCATGAAGTGGACTGCTGACCAAGAGCAACTGCTCCTCTCCCTCTATTTCGAGGTCAAGACAAGACACCATGACACCTGAGTCGAGTCCCATCCGACATGGGACTCGACTCAGGCGTCCACCGATGCTCAAGGAGCTTCCGCAAGATTCAAACGAAGAGAAATTGAACAACATGAATATTGAGGCAATCTCCATAGCTCTCCGCAGTCGCTGGTCACGACATAGTCGGCGATTCTGGGCGTTTCTGCGATCCATACCAGCGCAGGAAAGGAAAGACAACAGTGATAGGAATTAAAAATGAAACAGCCAACTCAGTCAAAATGCAACAAAGCAGGTAACTTCCTGAAGAATTTTGAGGCTACAGTATTTTTCAGAGAAAAGTTTTACGACACCTGTGGAGACCCGTGAAGCTGCGTGCGTACCAAAGCCTTTGCATGTGTGACCGCCGGCAGAAAAGAGCCGCAAAAGCGCCCACTGCCAGCGTGTTGGAGGCAGCCGCAAAAGCGGTGTCGCCGCCTGCATGTGTGACCGGCGCCTAAGGGGTCGTCCACAAATATCGATATTTTTTTAGAGAAGATATTCGTTCGTTTGGGGGGGGGGGGGGAGGGGTTTGGTCCCTGTTCATCTCGTCCTTTTGAAAAAATATCGATCTCTAACTTTGGGCGGGCACTGTGCAAACATGCAGTTGATGACCTACACAAAGTGAAAGTCAACCCCAAGAATACAGCCATGGCAAGGTTGAGAGACTGTGGCAATGTAAACCTTGGTGTATGTTGAATTTGGAGTTCCTGTTGGTCACGTTTCGCGAGAAGATTACACTTCATTAAAAAATATCGATACCCTGCATAAATGTGTGTATGTTCGTTTTGAGGGGGGAGGGAGGGGGTCCGAGGAGATATGAACAAATATCGTCTTGAAAAAAATATCGATATTTACGGACGGCCCCTAAGGTAACTGTTACACCCTAGCTGACACATTTCTCATCAACCAGTCACTGCTCTATTACACTTCAAGGTTTATCTTTTACAGTTCCTCTTTGTTTGCCTTTAGTTTGATTTACAACCTGAGGATAGGCCAAGTCTGAAAAATTGGTGTCAGAAGAGAAGGGAGTAACAGTTATTCCCGTAGCTATGCAGAAGACGTTACTTCAGTAACGTCTGGCGCTAGCCAGGGTCCACACAGCTTTAATTTGGTATTTGTGTGTTTGTTTGTTTGTTTGTTTGTTTGTGTCACGCCTGGCGCTATCCCGTATCTGTCCCGTACCGTACCGTACCATCAAACACAGCTGGCCACATATACAGCTGGCCGCAATATTCAAATAGGGCTTTCAAACGCAAGATCATAACGTGAAGCAACTTGGAAGAATGGGTATGAATGCGAAGTGTATGGGGGAATGCATGTAGGGCGATAGTGCGGGTTCGAATCCCAGGATATGCCTTAAAGGGGAAGTTAAGGCAAAAATTAAAATTTCACCAGTTGTAGTTTTCGGGGTGCTGAGTCGAATGGTCGTGGTCCGAGGAAGCTGAGACGCTCCCTTCCTACTTGAATCCCAATCGAACTCGCGCACTTCCACCGAAACTGGGTGACTGCGCCCTACTAGATGGGGATTTGTATGCAAAATGTCACTAAAAGCGCCATTTCGTTCTTATAAAAGCACGGATGACCGCGATTGGCCCATATGTTGTAGTCTTTTGGACGCTGAGTCGACTGGTTTTGGTCCGAAAAGGCTGCGATGCAGCGTTCCTCCTTTATTCCCAATCGAACATGGTTGAACAAGCGGTCACGTGCTCCTGCGTACGCCAGTCACCTGGCCACCGTGCCCGCAGGGTACAACTTACTAGCCTGTTTGACCTTTTTTGGGTGCAGTCCTGTCACTCGAGTTGAACTCGAGTTGAACCTTGGTGTGAAATTTGTCGCCTGCTGGCGTGGTGACAAGGTGATTTGGGCACCCAGGAGCACGTGACCGCTTCTTCAACCATGTTCGATTGGGAATAAAGGAGGAACGCTGCATCGCAGCCTTTTTGGACCAAAACCAGTCGACTCAGCGTCCAAAAGACTACAACATATGGGCCAATCGCGGTCATCCGTGCTTTTATAAGAACGAAATGGCGCTTTTAGTGACATTTTGCATACAAATCCCCATCTAGTAGGGCGCAGTCACCCAGTTTCGGTGGAAGTGCGCGAGTTCGATTGGGATTCAAGTAGGAAGGGAGCGTCTCAGCTTTCTCGGACCAAGACCATTCGACTCAGCGCCCCGAAGACTACAACTGGTGAAATTTTAATTTTTGCCTTAACTTCCCCTTTAAAAAAAATAGGAGAATTGAAAAAATTGTAACATCCCTATGCTTTTTTTGCCGTCATTAAGGCGGTAGACGGTGTCGTATTACCCTCGATCGTACCTGTCCCGTACCTATCCCGTACCGTACCATCAAAGACGGCTGGCCACAATGCATATTCAAATAGGGCTTTCAAATGCAAGATCATAACGTGAAGCAACTTGGAAGAATAGGGAGGTTCCGGAGTACGACTTTTCGTGCCAAAATCCGTAGAGGCGCTACGGACTTTTTAGACGTCGTTTTCGAGCAGTGAAATGTTCCGGAGTACGGAACTTATGTGTTTGCCGTCATTGCCTAGGTTACGATCGCAAACACGTCACATTCCCGCGCTATGCCTTTTTATTTTGAAAATTGTACCGAAATCGAAACTTCCCGCGGAAAATCCATGTTTCTCGTACCAAATTTGTACGCGAAAAATCTTTCTGCACCCGATGACGCAAAATCTCCATACGAAACATGGTTCGTGTGAAAGCCAGTCCACACGGATTCTCCGTGCCGAAAAATCGTATGGAGCATGCCTGGAAAAAATCCGTAGCGCCCATACGGATTTTGGCACGGAAAATCGTACCCCGGAACCTCTCTATTTAGTATGTATGCGAAGTGTATCGGGGGATGCATGCAGGGCGCGCGATAGTGCGGGTTCGAATCCCAGGTTATGTCTTTTAACCCTATAACGCCTATAGGGCGGATATATCCGCCTGACTGTACAGTGCATGCTGAGGTGACTTCAAACTTTCGCCATTCAGTCAATCCTTGTTCGAATTCAACAAACGAAAGGTCTAATCGTATTAGAAAAGCCTCAGCTGTCGGCTCCAAACACCCTAAGACGATCCGATGTCATGGCGCAGAGTTATGACACTCGAACGGAATTCGCGTGGGCGAGTCGGCTCGCGAGGCGTAAAATTTGAAACGCCAGCAAGGGATTTTCCCTGACTCGCTGGCGACGCGTGCACGACTGGCATACGTCATTTTCAAGCTGCATTTTGAAGCTCTCTCCTGCAAAAAAATTGACCGTTCTGCGATCGATATTGTTGAAATGGCTGAGAATTTAGTACCGCGCTCGCAGGTCTGGCATTGGAGCGCTCAGATCGCGCTGCGGCGTTACTCCTACGACTCTATCAATTGCGAACTGGGTATGGCTGTGTTCGTCTTGGAGAGAGCTTTCCATAGAGCCCTAGATTGTTGGAATACTCCAAAGGATATCGAAATTACAGTCAGATGAAAATGTGAGTTTGTGAATTTCATGCGTCTCCTGAAATAATTTAGGCACTAAAGGGTTAAAAAAAGAATTAAAAAAAAAAATTATAACATCCCTATGCTTTTTTTTTGTCTAGGTCATCAAGGCAAAAAAGCATAGCGTAGGGCCCTGAGCTTCCAAGCTCTCTCGTTTAGCAGCGGAGAGACCATTGATTTGAGTGTGTGTTCAGACTAAGTACAACAAAATTGATAAGAACCCCCACCCCAGAAAGCGAAAATCCTTTTCTAAAGCAACGCAGTGTCGAAACGAATGGCAACGCACAAATGGTCCTGGGTAATGATACCACGGCAAATTTCAACTGCAATGGCGGCAGCAAGCTCCAAAGAGGTGGGTTTAGTAGAGACAAGCCACCACTGCAGTTACTACTTTGATCCACTGTGCCAAGTAATGTCTGAGCATACAAGATGTTCATCTGTTCTGACTAGACTACAAGCTGAGCGATGGCAACAGGGGCAACATGATTGTAGGGTGGATACAGCGGGAATGGCTCGGAGCACTGCCTACTGGTCCGTTCCAGCTAGATATGGACTGTAGAGTTAGTGGTGTTACCATTAGTGAACCTTTCACTCACAGTAGAATTATCCGCACATCCGATTTGTGCTTGAAGAAGGTCTCTTTTGCCAATGGCTGGTGTAAAGGTCTTTTGGGGCAGGAAAGCCTTATGAACCCTGTGTCGGAAAGTGAGCTGGTCCGGGCATGACAACAGTCAACGACACTGTCTTGTCATTGTACTGATCTACTACCGTATATTATGGACAGAGGACTCGGTGTGTGAGTGTGCATGGGTGCGTGCGTGTGTGAATGTCTACAGTTTATTTTGTAGTGTATTGTGGAATTGTTGACTCAATCCTGGACTATTGTACTGTGCTTGTCATTTGTTGTTGTTGAATTCTTTATTCTCACGATGGCACCATCGCCAATAAGAGATATTTTGTTGCTGTTGTTGTCGTCGTCGTCGTTGTTGTCATTGCTGTCGTTGTTGTGTGTTCTGATCTAATCTACACAGGAAGAAGATCGTATTATGCGGCGGGAAGTTCAGGCTCTCAAGGAGCTCTGCGCACACCCTGACCTGAATCCTGTATGTCCACTATTTGCGTTGTTTTGCATGGTGCAGCATGGCTGTAGACATAACCCTCTGCTCAGTTTATCAATTAGTGCCCTGCAGCCTTTCTATACTTTGTACTTTGTGTGTGTGTGTGTGTGTGTGTGTGTGTGTGTGTGTGTGTGTGTGTGTATGTGTGTGTGTGTATGTGTATGTATATGCATGTCTGTGTGTATGTCCATGTCTGTGTGTATGTCCATGTCTGTGTGTATGTGCATGTCTGTGTGTGTGTGTGTGCATGCATGTGTCTGTCTGTGTCTGCGTGCGTGTGTGTGTCCGCGTGCATGTGTGCGTACTGAGAAGCTTTCCTGTTGTCCTGCTGCTGGTGTGGTGTGTCTATGGTGCAGAAACAGCGCAAAGAAGTTCTCGTTCGCCTGCTGTACTGTGAGATGCTGGGCCATGACGTATCCTTTGGTCACATCCATGCTGTAAAATTTGCACAGCAGACGACATTGGTGGAGAAACGTGTTGGTACGTATGCGGCTAGTGCAGAGCAATGTTCTAGTTTTCTTGCACTAACCTCCACTTTTCGCTCCAGTATCTTAGCAAATCTAATGTTCATGTGATACCAATACCTCTGCTTCTGTCTTGGTATGTTGGTGACCTTGTGCACCAGTTGAAGCTAGTGTCAATGACATTTGAAGCAGCTGTTGGTTGTCTCACACTCTGGCTAGAGACTGTTCGCTCAATTGCGGATTGAGTATGTTCAGTGACGCTTAGCCCAGCGTTTCCACATGTATACACAATGCTCCAGATGTACACTGAACAGCCAACGCAACACTATAGCCATGTACACAATACCTGTCAGCTCGAGATAGATTGTATGAGGCTTCCTGGACGAGCCAGGCTATGTTGGCTCTGGGACACGTTCAGGTAGCCTCGAAGAGACGGGGAGACCGTAACAGCACGTGGCATGCCATGCGAGGCTGTAAACTTTGCACTGATTGTGTAATGTCTCTAGTCTTACTGGGAGACATTGGGCCAGGCCCTTTATGGAAGCTATGGCATGGGAAAGGTGAAAATCAATATGAGAGAGCACACTGGGATTGTGAATTGTGTGTGTGTGTGTGTATGCGCGTGCGTGCACGTGTGTGTGTTTGTGTGTGTGTGTGTGAGTGTGTGCGTGTGCATGCGTGTGTGTGTGTGCGTATGTGTGTGTGTGTGTGTGTGTGTGTGTGTGTGTGTGAGTGTGTGTGTGTGCGTATGTGTGTGTGTGTGTGTGTGCGCGCGTGTGTGCGTGTGTGTGCGCGCGCGCGCGCGTGTGTGTGTGTGGATATTGTGTTTGTGTGTCATTAGGTTACTTGGCCACGTCTTTGTTCTTGCACGAGAACCATGAACTGACCCTTCTGTTGGTGAACTCTCTACAGCGGGTATGTGCAACTCAGAGCAGTGAACACAGTGTCTGTATGTGCTCTACATAGCAACTCCGAGCAGTGAACACAGTGTCTGTTGTTTGCAATGCCTCTACGATGGTTGTGTCTTGACTTGCTACATGGACAGTTAAAGAACTGTCGAAATAGCAAACGACGGAAATGCATTTGACTGTCCTCTAGGAAGCGATGCGCCCACTCACTCTCAGTTGTGCAGACGCGACATGCACATGCACATCCAGTCATAATCTTTTCTCTCTCCAATACGTTCATTCCACTCTCATTTTCCATACCTGTGTACATGGCCAGGATCTGGAAAGTACGAACATTCTGATAGTGTGCTCTGCAATGACGGTGATCAGCAAAGTGATTGGCAGTGACATGGTGCCAGTATTCGTACCCTTGATCAAGAAGAAGCTCACACACCAGCGGTAAGCATGCTGCACTGGTCACTGATCACCAAAGATGTGCGCAAAATCAATGTGTTGGACGACAAATAGATGGGCATGCCGTTCTGGCATGGATTTTGACTTGATTTTGAGTGCTACTTTTTTTTACCGCAATGTACCTGCAGATTTGGTATATGCCTTGTTACATGTTGTCATCGTCGTCATCCATACCTGCAGATATGCACTGTAGTAGAGGGTTTGTTTTGCGACTGTTCAACTCTATATCTACCTGGCCTAGTCACTGGTCCCTAGTGTAAATCCAGTTTGAATAGCACCAAATCGCACTGTTCTACAAAGTTTACTGCTGTGTGTTTTCAAACTTCGCAGCGAGATAGTGCGCAAGAAGGCGGTGATGACACTGCACCGCATCTGGTGCATGGCGCCCACGCAGCTCAGTGACATCCAGGACATTTGCCGTCAGGTGCTGTGCGACCGTGATCCTGGCGTCATGGCTGCTTGCCTGCACATCTTCCATGACCTGATCTGCGTGAGTTGGACGTCTGAAGAACTTTTGTGTCTTGCCGTGTTTGTACTTTGTTCTTTATTTCCGTCACTTCTTCAATAAACCCTACCTTGGATGTATCATCAGATGTTGGTCAAAGTGCTCTATTACTGATTACAGTGGAAGGCAAAAGCATATCTGGATGCGATGGTTTTGCTATATTTGTGCCTGTGGCTATACTTGTACCGTACCTCCGCTTTTGTCATGTCATGCTTTTTTCTGTTCCGCTTCCGATCCTTTGAACATCGCTGAAGTGCTATATGTGTGCTTGTGCGTGCATGTGCTGCTTTTGTCGAATTTTGCGGGTATGACCATTTTAGGAAGCACCGGAAGAGAACACTGATCTAACTTCGTCATTTGTCAGCATTCTGAAGCAAATTGTAGAAGGCCGCCTGCCGCATGAGTTTGACTACCACAACATGCCTTCGCCATGGACACAAATGAAGCTTCTCCGCATCTTAGCCATGCTGGGCGCTGATGATCTCAAGTAGGTGACGATGAAATGAGTGAATTTAAGCAAATCTCGGCACATTGAAGTGTGCATTCGCGTGCACACACATACACACACACACACACACATACATACACACACACACACACACACACACACACACACACACACAATTTACTAGTATGGGGCGAACCTGATCAAGTGAGACCACCGATTGAGAAAGCGTTGGCGACCACGACAAGATTGCGAGGGCTTGGAACCCAGCTACTGTTTGGCATCGGAAGCTAATGAGGTGGGCCACTGAGGCATCATAACGCGATAATACAAAACTGCTGAAAAACAACGCTGTCTTGACAAGGAACCAGCCTGACTACAGAGAAACAACAATTATACCACACCCGACTTCTAGAACAAAGCAGTTTGGATAACAGCAGCAGCACCGCGGATTTGATTCTCACGCTGAGTGCATAATTGCCATGTGTCACACCTTGGCGATAAAAAAAGATACGCCTTTTTCCGTGCTGTAATTCTACTTTTGCCTTCAGTGCGTATGGAAGTGTGTACAGTAAAACCTGTCAAGGCGACCACTCTGATAAGGTGACCACCTCTCCTAGAAGATCACTACAACCAGGTCCCAGCTGTGTTGTTTCCAGTCAAATGACCCTGGATATGGAGACAACCTGTTCACGGGAACCACATTTTGAAAGTCCCTTGAGCGGTCGGCTTAGACAGGTTTCACTATGTACATGCACATGTACATGCTCCTGTTGCTGTGCCCCCTTGTCCACCATTTGCAATGCTAGAACTGTATATAAAAGGTAAAATAATAACCATGTCAATGCAGCTGATGGCAGCGTTATGGGCTGGCCGTCGAGCATACAGTACTGTACTTGTAGAATGAACGGATAAACGTAAAGCGTGTGTATTGTTTGCTGCCCTGCTTCTTACTGTTTGTAGAGCAAGCGAGATGATGTATGAAGTGCTCAGCTTGACGTTGACAAGAGCTGACACTGGCAACCCGATTGGATATTGTGAGTAATTTTCAAAGAACTAACATCATGTGCTGGTGTTCCTGGTACGGTGTGTCCATGTTCTCAATGGTGCACACTCATGTAGCTTGTAATCTGCATTATCTCCATTGCACCTGTCTAAGTCTTGTTTGTTTGTTTGTGTTTGAGTGCTATTACTACTTGTACACAAAATACTTTCTAATGATGTGGTCCGAACAGCAAACAGCAATTTTCATTGGTTGTATTTTGATGTACATTATGTCACACATGATGTCATTTCAACGCATTTGTTTGTGTCTTTTTCTCCTTGGTCGTCCGCTCCCAGCCGTTACTTACGAAGTGATCCGAACCATCACGTCCATCTACCCCAACTCTCAGCTTGTCGAGAAAGCAGCCAAGTCGCTGTCTCGCTTCTTGACGTCGACGAACAACAACTACAAGTACTTTGGTGAGCCTTCGGTGTATGCTGGTGCTGTTTACATGTTCACTTATGTGACCGTGTAGTGAAGCGTGTTTCTTTCGTTCAGGTACACGACGGTTCATGTGTGCTGTTTAGCATTCGAGTCCAAGCGTAAGAAGTGTGTGATATGGTGTGTGTGTGTGTGTGTGTGTTTGTTTGCATGCTTATTCAGGTATCACATTGCTTGCTTCTATAGTTCAGGTCGATCCCAAGTATGCTGCCGATCATCAGATGGTTGTGATCAACTGTCTTGATGATCCGGATGAGACGCTGAAGAGGAAGGTATGTCTCTTATCTACCGATAGCTCTTGTTCAATTTTTTCTTCATTCCTCTTCCATCCTTGTTTTGCTGTCTCTTCCACTCTCTCCGAGACATACACTAGAACTTAAAAGTATAAGTACCCTGGAAATATAATACTATTGAACTGTTTTTGAAGGACCCTTCATAATAGTTTAGGAGCTTCAGGAACTGCATCTGCGCCTAGATCTTTGAGGGCGATGGCATTTCCACTGATGCGGAATGTTCAGTTTCACCACGCAAACCTTGATATTTTTTACATAAATAATACACCTGTCATTTGACCTCGAATCGGATTTATAGTATCTCGGCTTTGGAAAATTTATTTTTCATTGCTATCAGGTTCGGCCTCATTTCCTCCTGTGCTGATGAGTCCACAAAGGACGAAACAGTTCTGTCCGCAGATTGAGTAGTATCTGGGCTATAAAGTACATGTCAGATGTTCACATGTCGGAACTCCAGTAGACATGTTTTCTTTGAGGAACTCGGAGAATAACCATGGTTGTGATGCTCTATGGCAGTACCGCTGTTGCTGGTCTGGGTCGTCCAACCATCAGGTTTTGACTGCTGTATGTTTTCTTCCCTGTGTGTGTGTGTGTGTGTGCGTGTGTGCGTGTGTATGTACGTGTGCGTGTATGTACGTGTGTGTGTGTGTGCGGTGTGTGTGTGTGTGTGTGTGTGTGTATGTGTGTGTGTGTGTATGTGTGTGTGCATCTGTGTATCTGTGTGTGTGTATGTTTGTGCATGCATGCATGCATGCCTGCTTGCTTTCTTAGACTCTTGATCTTCTCTACCACATGACCAATCCACACAATGTTGAAGTGATCTGCGAGAGACTAGTCTCCTACCTCAGGAGCACTGTTGATGATTTCTTCCGTGCTGATCTGGTGGCCCGTGTCACTGAACTTGCTGAAAAATATCCTCTCTCTATGCACGGTGTACGTATTATTATTATTCTTTTATTCCACGATGGCGTGACGCCAATAAGGATGATTGATAAGTGCGATAGAGCTGGTACTAGCCAGAAACAGCTAGATGGAAATTAACCGGGGAGGCAAGAAGCAATGGATTATGAAAAACAAGCGGGGGCAATAACGTTAGCAGGGGTGATCGAGATAGTTAAGTACACGTTCGAGATATCAGAAACCAGGGGATGCGCGGAGCAGGAACAGGTACTGCTCAAAAGGAGACTGGATGCATTGTTTCGGAAAGAATTTCTACGAGGTTGGGTTGTGACGTGTGTATGTGTGTGTCTGTGTGTGCGTGTGTGCGCGCGCGCGTGTGTGTGTGTGTGTGTACTTCGCGGTATTACTATTGGTGTCTATGTGCAGTGTATGCTTTACAACAAATTAGGTGTGTAGATTTGAATGTAACCGGTAGTAACTGTCTACCATTTTCATTGGGCAGATGTGCTCCTTAACTCATTTTGCTTACGTTTGCTCCCAACAACTCTTGGTTCATGCAAACAATGAACGCCGTGTTTGAGCTTGGCGGTTCATTGGTACGGCCTGAGGTGGCACACAACCTCATGCGCTTGTTGGCAGAAGGTGAGACGTAAGACTGTGCCACGACCTGGCATGTTCCATGTGTGTGTTGAGTTCAGGTTGCTGTTTAGGGAGGAAGGTGTCACGAATCTAATCTTCTCACCATCACACTGTTGTATAATATGCTCGTGTCTGTACAGATGTGCTCTGCGTGCAGTGAATGCAGACTTCAGTTTGAAAGGCATTGGGAAAAAAATTAGATCCTGATTTTCTTGGATCTAGCCGTGCCCGTCGCTAAATCTTCACATACCAGTGTATCGTACAGTGCACTAGAATACAGACACATCAGTTCTACATGTACATGCACTTTGGCCCTTGATTAGATCACAATCAATATTACATTTTCAAGAGTACCGTATTTCCCCGAATATAAGTCGCACCTTTGTACACTAAAATTCAACAGTAAAAAAAGGGGTGCGACTTGCAATCAAGCATGACTTACTACTGATGTCAATAATATCAAATCAATATGGCTCAAACCTGAGAATGGGGGTGCGACTTATAATTGAGTGCGACTTATAATCGGGGAAATACGGCACATGGAAACAAGCCTGTACGGCTCTAGTGGGTTGCTGTCATGGTGACGTTCCTGGATTACATCATTTTAATGATGCAGTGCGTGTAAGCAGGATTCATGTAGGTCTTCTGCTGCTGGACAACTGGCAACTGCAGCTCAGCTACACGCACTCCATCGCTTGCTGCTGCCGCTTTTCTGCATCAACTATGATGTAATCCAGGCATTTTGCCGTGACATGCACCCATGCAGGAGGCGCACAGTCACTCTGGTCTCCACGTACATAGTCTTGACAATTTCTACATGTACATGGTGTGGTTGTGCTCTTTGCCTATGCATGTGCAGGCACTGAAGACGAGGATCAGGACTTGGAGCTGCGATTGTACGCTGTGGAGTCCTACATGGAACTAACCGACCACCTCATCCTGCCCAACATCTTGGTCAAGATCATGTGCTGGGTCAGTGGTACAAATGCCGATGTGCATGTTATTGTATTGTACATACTTGAATGTTGGTGTGCATGTGTCGCACGTACTTGTCTTGTGCGTACACCAGTGCAATACTGGTGTGCATGTATTGTACATGCAAGATGCTGGTTTTTTTATACATCGTGTAATTACTCAGCGTTATGTGCAATAGTAATAATAATATATTGTACATACATGTGTTGTGCACAATCCAACACTACACTGACTTTGACTGTGGCCAGCCAGTCTATCGGTTGCAGAAGACTTTGTTGCACGTACTGTACATGTAATGACCATGCACCGGGTCAGGGCCAGTAGGGAGTCGTGCCATCACATGTCATAGCTGCCTTTGACTGGAACGTGTGAGAAGAAGCAACCTTGAAGTGCGTGTACATGAAAACTGAACAACGGCAACGATGACGAGAGCAGCGACAGCAGCAAACAGCATGACCTCCACTTACTGGGGATATAGCTTATGCTTGTGTTTGTATTGCTCTATTTCTGTTGTGATAGGTTCTCGGGGAGTACTCCTATCTAAGTGAGGACTATTCCGCCAAGGATGTGCTCACTGCCCTCTGCAAGCTTCTGGACAGGCAGTATGAATGTAAGGAGCTTTAGTATCGCCTTATGGTTACATTATCTTAGCTAGTCTTCTGATAATTACATCATTGCAAGAAACTCTGAGTAGGAGACGGACTGATTTTCTTCCACTGCCCCCTATGCATACCTAATCTTGTTATCACATCTTTCTTGCTTTTTTGTTGCTGTAGCCAATGCTGAAACGCATGGTTGGATAGTATCGGCCATCTCCAAGATTGTAAGCCAGCAGAATCAACTACCAGGCGAAGTGTGGGCACGTGTCTCGAAGTTCCTGTCATCCGCGTCCACTGATCTACAGCAGGTAACCATAGTAACTTAGGCATATGCTGGCTATGTTGTGTAGGGTAGTACAAGGCCGCAATCAATGCTAAGTCTTGTGAAACACGTGGCTGGGCGCCGTTCTCTTGGCGCATTGGCTCACTCGTTGGACAAGGTAGTTGTCCTGGCAACCGGGTCGCACTTGGGTGTGTGCTGCTTGCATGCTGCTTGCATGCGGGTACAGACACTCAGCGTGACAACGTGTTGCCCTGCGTCCCTACCCGCTGGCTTCAGGATAAAAACTGGGCGGGTTGTGCTTCCATGCAAGTCATGTGATGTATGATAACGGTAGTACACTGTAATTTATTTTTGTTTCAACTTTGAATCACTGTGTTTGTGTCCACAGTGTTACGTGTGGGGTATAGGGTTAAACTTGTCTCTCAATGGTTCTGTTTCTGGATGTGTGTGTGTGTGTGTGTGTGTGTGTGTGTGTGTGTATTTGTGTGTGTGTGTGCGTGTGTGTGCGTGTGTGCATGCATGCTTTTGCAGCGCTGCTACGAGATGAAGCTATTATCAGCACAACCAGCTCTGATGCAGGAGGTCCTACCAACTGATGCAAGCTGTGAAGACCTGGAAGTAAGCACCACTAACCCACTGTGTGTACTCTGAACAGATGATAATACCCAGCCACCCATGAGCATTAAAAAAAATAAAAATAAAAATTTCACGGTTCGCGTGAGACTCGGCTGGAAGCCAGGTTTTCCGCATCCGTAGGAACGCCACCACCCTTCAAGGATCAAGGCGCAGATGCAGCTCCTAAAGCGGTGGGAGGTGAGTAGATCAGCTCACCAGCAAGTGGTCAAAGACCGAAAATCCCATTCACTGCATCCATGTTTTCCTCGTACCACATGTTTTATAGAGAATGCCATTGCTGTCGATGATGCGTGTGGTGAGCGTCTTCACTGCTTTGCCCTCTAAGACTGTTTTTGAGTTCACTGTATCTACTTGAAACTGTATACAGGAATTCCAGTTACTGGACTGGACGTGGATAATCACTGTTGAGTTTTAGTATCTTCAAAGCTCAAGCTCTAATGCCAGGATAGTCACACATTGTACCCTGAATACACTTTTGTCTTCCATGCTCACGCTTCATATGATCAGCACCACACCATTTGACATGGCCCATTTGTGTGTGTTTTTGAATTAGGTGGATGGGAGCTTGTCCTTCCTGGATGACATTGTATCTGACGCTATGGCTCGGGGCTGTCCTACTTACAAACCAGCTAGCCAGCGTAAATCTGCTTTCAAGCCACCTGATGAAGAAGGTGAGAGACTGGGTTTGTCTTTGCTTGGTCTTACTGTAAGATTGACCACAACATTGTTTGCTGCGCCGTCCCAGCACTAGTAGTTATGGCTTGTACGGTAGCATTGCTATAACGAATAGGTGTCTACGGCGTGTGTGTGTGCATGTGTGCGTGTGTGTATGTGTGCATATGTGCGTGTGTGTATGTGTGCACGCGTGTGTTCCTATGGCAGAGCCGCAAGAAGACAGTGGCCGTGTAGCTGGCCTGAACGTCACTCCCTACGCCGCGCCCCAGCAGTCGGCCGCTGCATCTGCTCTGTTCCGTGGATTGGCCGCCTCACCAGCTGCTCCCTCCAGTGCTTCTGCCGGTGAGGAAGCATCATCACATGCAGTGGTCAGCACGGTGGGTCAGTCGACAACAGCTGAGAGCACGGGTAGTGGTGATGACAGTCGTTCAGACGGTGCTAGTAGCGCCGGCGCCAGGTCATCACCGCAAGTCACTAGGTATGTTTTGTGTATGATTGCACCACATGGCCCGTGCATCTAGTATTTTGAAAAAGTGAACTTTGGTTGAGTGTTGCTGTCTGTCGAATTGCAGTCTGTGCTGCTTGTGGATGTATGCTTATCTATTAAAGTTACAACTATGTTCTGTTTACTTTGTCTTTGCTCTAGGCAAACCCAATCTGGCTTGGAAGTTGCTGGCCCACGCCTGTGGGGACGTGGAGGCTATGCCAAGAAGCAGACAGCTGTACCGGAGTCATCACCATCAGCTGCTGCTGCTGCTGCTGATGCAAGTGTGGCTGAGTGAGTTTGCTTGTTGCATGTTGATCTCATCCTGGCCTTTGACTTCTTTCTTTGGGGGCGGCCTGGCCAATTAAAGGCTTACAGTCCATTCATTGGAAACTGGCACCCTAACTTTTTGGTGTCTCTCTCACATACTTCAAAGTAGTTGTAGATATCGTGAAAACAACAGTACATCCTGCATTGTGTGACCCGTGCAATTACTCCTTCCACATTTGAGGCCAGAAAAGTCCAAGAACAGGGAAATAGAAATTCAGCCAGGTTTTACAAAATTAGGACAGGTATGCCATGGCAAAATGTATGGAGAAGCATTTAGGATTTTACGTCGGGCCCTAGACGACGGCTACTTTGGCCAACCGGACAACGAAGAAGTTGTGACCAAAGAGAATGATTTTATTTCTTGCGCATGCGTTTGTAGAATGACGTAATACTCAGTGAGTCAGGTCGCTACAGTACTCCCCCGCCAGTGGTGAGGTCGGGAGGAGCGAAGCACGATAAACAAGAAACAAGAAAGAGAAGAGAAAGGAAGCGCGGCATGTACAAGGCGGAAAGAGAAAAATATAATACAATATGTACAAGCGAGAGCGCTGCGTGTATGAAATTTGTTTGTGACGTGGCAAAAAAGGCCGAAACAAAATCAAAAATGCAGAAAGCGGAAATGAGAGAGATGTATGACAGAGGCGGGCTAACATGTCAGAGGTGTGTTAACGTGACAGAGGTGGAGAGCATGTCAGAGGCAGAAAGAAAGAAAAGAGGAAATGTACGCGTGACAGAGGAGTGTTATCGTGTCAGAGGCGGAAAGAAAGGAAATGTACGCGTGACAGAGGAGTATTATCATGTCAGAGGCGGCTGCATGTTGCAGGCTTGGCAGGATACCAGCAGGAGCGCTGCACTGGGGCGAGGCGTGCCGACTGAGGCGGGGACAGATGGAGGCGAGCGCAGCTCCATGGGGTCCGGTGCCGGGCGTGTGCCTGCGTGCGTGCACAGTGAGTGAGCTGGTACGACGGGTGGAGGTGGCCAATGTCCAGCTTGAGGCCAGGACGAAAACGACTGGACGATGTGCCGTGGCAGGATAGCGGGATATCCAGGTGGGCCGGGAGGGTGGCAGGGGCCACAGCAGCTCCGAGGCGGATCCAGTGACGAGTGGTGGTGAGGCTCAAGTTTTACGTCAACAGCCGGCGATTGACGGGATCCCGAGAGTTGAGGCGAGCAGGAAACTGTGGCGGGCCGAGCTCAGGGATGGCATGCTCAAAACTCCGAAGAGCGCAGCGTCGGGGGTCACCAATATAGGGTTTTACGTCGGGCCCTAGACGACGGCTATTTTGGCCAACCGGAGAACGAAGAAGTTGAGGCCAAAGAGAATGATTTTATTCTTGCGCATGCGTTTGTAGAATGACGTAATACTCAGTGAGTCAGGTCGCTACAAGCAGATTCAAAACCCAGATTTTTGAGATTTAACGTGGGGTTTTGATCCTCAATTCGGCCCAAATCCGACTTTCAAAAGCCAGCGGGCCAGTTTCCGATGAATGGACTGTAGACGATGCGTTCGTTGCTGACTGTTTTAAAACGGCTATTCTTGTGGAGTCCTGTGCTTATGGTTTGCATGTAAAAAAAATAAAAAATAAAAAACATCCGTGCATGGACTGTTGTAGTGGTTTGGTTCCTGGCAGGATGTGTCATGTTGGGTCATGTGCTGGTCACTGGTGGTGGCGTCGGCGGCAGTAAGAGTTCTCCATTTCTCTCAGGGTACGGAGGCTCAACTGCAACCACTTCCCACTATGATATCATTCAATTATTGTCAACTTGAGTCTCAGTGCAGGAAATATAGGCAAATAGCTTGGTCTCGGGCCATCATCATAAAGGACTGATTATGAAAACAAGTGTGTGGTGTACATACATACGATGGCTGATTGTGATACAATGTACAATACAATGACAGAGTGAAGAATACATTAGACTGGCAAAAACACAATATCTCTAGCACAGAAAGAAAAAAAGATAACTCTTGCAGTGATGCACTGTGACAATCATGCTAACTAATGCCGTTAGATCGGTGTTTGATTATGAAGTGACGTGAACTGTGAGCAGGTCTATGTCACTGAGTAGCAGAGGAACGGCTCAACTCGAGAGTTGACGTTGCCACTCTTGCAATTCGAAAAGCATCCCTGTACTGAATCCATGCACGGGGTCAAGTTTGTAATTTTCTTTTCTTTGCCCTTGCGTTCTCCTCTCTCCTTTGCTGATTTACGTATGTGTTGGCCATGCTAGACCGACATCTTCTGGTGATAGTCTTCAGACTGATGGAGGCTTTGCCTCACCCAGATCACCTGGTCAATTCGGTGCTACTGGCAAGTCTGCTGTAAGTATTCTGAGTGTTCAGCTGCTGTACTGCTCACAGCACACACACGCGCGCACACACACGCACACACACACACACACACACACACACACACACACACACACACACACACACTTAGTACCTGCTGCGCTGTTTGGTTGTGCCTATACTTTCATTCTGAACTGGAATTTGATTTGCTTGTTCACGTGCATGTCACGTGATATAGTCATTGTACTGTAGTTCAACATTATGCTGTGTGTGTGTGCGTGTGTGTGTGTGTGTGCGTGTGTGTGTGTGTGTGTGTGTGTGTGTGTGTGTGTGTGTGTGTGTGTGTGTGTGTGTGTGTGTGTGTGTGTACATGCACGTGTATACATGCACGTGTATATGTGTGTGCTGTGTGTGCACGCACATTCCTGGTGTATACATGTAGGCATCTGTTGAACCGACCTCCGCTGATTCCGAAGGTGGCGTTCCACTCACTGAAGAGGAGAGAAGCAAGCGTGAGCTGGCTGGTGCCATATTTGGGACTTCCAGTGCTGGCCGCGGTGCCGGTATCCTAACGGTAAGAGAGACAGAAAAAGAGAGAGAGAGAGATAGAGTGAGGCAGAGTGAGTGAGTAAGTGAGTGAGGGGCTGCCTTATTTCTCGCATGCCCTTTGTAGTGAATCACCACGATATTGCTGGTCTTGAACCTGTCACCCACAATTGAACAAGTGACTCTGCACAGAGTTATACCCAAACGTGTAATATTCCTACAGTCCTACACTCATCCTGCTTATACAGATAGCCGGTGCTAGATGACATTGTGGTGTACTGAATTGTTATACCCACTCATCTATCTCCTTGTGTAATAGGGCAAGGGCAAGAGTCGGGCTCAGAAACGCCGCCAGCAACAGCAAGCAGCCAATGCCAGTAGTAACACATCAGCTCTGTCACAATCCAATGTGGCAGCCATGAATGCCAGTTCAGCCTCGCCATCAGCTCAGCATGTTGCTGATGGTAATGCTGGTGGAAGTTCTCTGCTAGATTTGGATATGTTCTCTTCTGCTACTGGTACCAGTCATGGCAATGATTCTGTCGTGCCTGCAGCTGCCAGTCAGAACCAAGGTACAGTCTGGACATGTACAGTGCCTGTGTGGTCCCTGTGTGTTATTCCTCCGTGATGCCAGTGTGGTGCTTGTGTGTGTTTCTCTGTGTGGTATCTGTGTGATCACTGTGTGGTCCCGGTGTGGCATGTCAATATCTACATGTGTAGTGTATGGATATGTGACTGAATGTGTCTATCAGAACCTCGTCAACATAATATTGTTAGTCTCACATACACCACGAGCTCGGTTGCATAAAGAACTCGCTGTGCCCATGTACATGCCCGTAATATATTCTAATCGAATGGCCTGCAGATAATCCAGATATTCTGTATTGGATCCAACCCTTCCTCGACTGTTTCCAACTGCTTATTGCTGTCCTGGTTTAACTACTTCTTTTTTCGATTTGGCTGTTCAGGTGGAAGCTCTGCTGCAGTTGACCTGCTGGACTTGGACTGGGGCGGTGTAGCATCCGGTGGCACTGCCAACGCCTCGACTGGTTCCGGTGCAGCCAGTGTGGGCGCTACACAATTGATGATGAGTCCCAGTCCTGCTGCTTCTGCTGATCTCATGCAAGCTGCACCGGCTGCTCAAAAGTACGCACCCATAATTATATTATTATATTAACACTCTGGCATGGTGGGTGTGAACCAGCAGGTATATACGTAGAGCTCGAAGAGCTTCAGTGTGAACTGCAGTGTACAGCTACGCGAAAAGGACAAGATTTATACTGTAAGGGGTCCGTCCGTAAATATCGATGTTTTTTAGAGACGATATTCGTTCGTATGGGGGGGGGGGGGAGGGGGTTTTGACGCTGTTCATTGTTTTTGGCGGAAAAAATATCGATCTTCACATACGCTATTTTTAGGTATGTGTAGCGACCTGACTCACTGAGTATTACGTCATTCTACATACGCATGCGCAAGAAATAAAATCATTCTCTTTGGTCACAACTTCTTCGTTGTCCGGTTGGCCAAAGTAACCGTCGTCTAGGGCCCGATGTAAAATCCTAAATTGGTGACCCCGACGTGATATGAGTCAGGTCGCTACATATGCACCTTGTACTTGCTTGCCGCGGCTCGTGCACCATGCAGCATGCAGGCACTTGAACCTTGTGACTTGTACTACTACTAGTACTGCAGCACGTGGGGAGGGGGAGATATGAACAAATATCGTCTCTAAAAAAACATCGATATTTACGGACGGCCCCTAAACTGCCTAATGTTCGCGACGGATTAATGTTCGCTATTTTCGCGAGAAGAGCGTAGCTCGAATATTATATTGGCTAGCTTGAAATCGAGCTTCAACAGTGGGTGTATGTAGGTGGCCCCTGTGCTTCGCGAACTTTTGCCATCGCAAACTTGTTGGTTCTAAGAAATTTAACTCGGATGGTGAGCCAATTAAATTATGGTGAAGAAAGGAGGACAACATGTTACGAGTTATGACTAACTGTCCGCCAACGTAACCAGATTATACAGTCAGCGAGTGCGACAAAATGGCACAAAACTGACAAGGAGTACTAAGACATTCGGCGACCTGACACCTAGCTCCAACACTTCTCCAAGGCGCAAACCAACAACCTTCCAACTTGGAAGGCTCAGGTTCGGAAAGGTCCAAGAGGGGAAGGAAAGCGCAATGAAGAAGAGCACGAGCTACGCATCATGGCAACAAAGAATGCCGAAAGTTACTGGATGATGACGAAACTAGTAAGACTATTGGACAGACCGGCCTTACTACAACTCAACGATGCAAAGCAACAGACCACCCAACTTGACTGACTGTATAAGATCTGGTTACATTGGTGGACAGTTAGTCATAACTCGTAACATTTTGTCCTCCTTTCTTCACCATAGTTCTAAGAAATCGCGAAAATTTAGTGACGCGAATATTGGGCGATTTACAGTATTTCCGTGCTATACATACTGGGCGACTGCCACAGCCGGGGTCCACAGCCCTTTAAACAACCAAGAGGCACAAGAAGGCGGCTGCTCCAAACGCTGGCGCTCGAGCTTCCTGCCGACTGACCGACTGACACTTGATGGACTGAAGTCTTAATATCTCAAGAAGAACAAGTCATGACATGACCTTTGTGTCAAGATGCATGGTCGTGGTACGCGGATGTCGTGTACACGCACACGCATGTGCCACCTAACCAAACAAGCATAGTGAGTGCGTTGAGCTGCAGCTCTCTCGTGAGGAGAGGGCTGACCTGGCAGAGCACATTACCCACCTATAATCACATGACAGATCTACTTCTACAGCCCGGCAGGCCTCCATGGGGCCAAGGTTGAATTGGAATGTGTTCCTCTACAACTCTTTCGATAACGTTTTGCTCGTTCTTCCCTTGATTCTATTTGCAGTGGATTAGTTAATCTTCTTGACGGTATGGAGATCTCACAGCCGTCCACTTCACCTGCACCAGCTGCAGTAGATATTGGTGCAGCAACATCGCAACCACCCATGCAACCAGCACTGTCACAGTCTAGCAATGCGGTGAGTTTCTTCAAAGACATGCCTGTTTTTGTTCATTTTCTTTGTGTGCTTGTTCATTCTGGTGAATTGCGTGCTGTGACTGTTATGTGTGCATGTTGAGATGCATTTTTGTCTATTCGTCCGTTGTCTGTCTCTCTGTGTGTCCGCTGTTGTGGATATGTGGGAATACATGTACATGTATAATGTGCTTGTGTGGTGAATTGCACTGTCTCTGTGCCTTTCTCTCTTTTTCAAACAGGCGCCGGACACCTCATCGCCTAGTTTCTCATTTTTAGCACAGGAACCTTCACAAGACTTGCCAGCACCTCTCACAGCGACTCCGAACACGAACCAGCTGCCTGCGAGCCTGCAAGCGTTTCCTCACAATAGTATTCGGGAGGTGAGTTGTCTGTGTGTGTGTGTGTGTGTGTCTGTGTGTGTGTGTGTGTGTCTGTGTGTGTCTGTGTGTGTCTGTGTGTGTCTGTGTGTGTGTGTGTGTGTGTGTGTGTGTGTGTGTGTGTGTGTGTGTGTGTGTGTGTGTGTGTGTGTGTGTGTGTGTGTGTGAGTTGTCTATGTGTGTGTGTGAGTTGTCTGTGTGTGTGTGTGTGTGTGTGTGTGTGAGTTGTCTGTGTGTGTCTGTGTGTGTGGCAGTGCATACAGTCATCTGCCAGGGTAGGGGCATGTACATACAAGTACAGTTGCGCTCGGTGAAATCTGACCAAAAGTGCATATTTGGCTCTCGCAACGTGCACGGCCCTGGACACCCTGGAAGTGGTAGGAATGCGGCTGGACGTACACATGTACACGTACAGTGATGTAATCAGAACTGATCCAGGGCGTCGACTTTGCACGTCGGGTTGGATTTCAGTGAGCGCATCTGTACATATAGTGCATTCCACTATTGAGATTATGTATGTGGACACCAGACCGCAGGAAACCGGACTGAGGGCCAAGCAAAGCCAGCTGACTGTGACAGCTCTTGGTTTGTCTGTCGAAACTGAGGAAGTAAGTATTTACTACTTGTATGCACAGGTCTAACCTCGTTAGTACGACATAGGTTACAAGACAAACCTCATTAGTAGACAACGATACAAAATGCCCTGACACGTGAAATGCGTATATTCAAGTCCGGATAGTAGATAGTACTCGTTATAAGACAAAAATTGCCCCCCCCCCCCCCCCCCCCGGGTTGTCTACTAGCGAGGGTAGACCTGTAGTGCTTTTCTGAATCTGCCTTTGCTTCAGTGCCAGCCTTATTACAAGTAGTCTCTTCTTTCAAGTGCTGCATGTGTGGGTACAGCAGGGACTAATGCATGCTATTTCACTGGATTCGCTGAGGAGGCAAGAAAGGTACATGTGGAAAGGCGTTCGGTTCTCAATATCGTTGACCTGTAGGTTGCAATGGAGCGAAATTGGCGTGTCGGAAATTTTAAAATGGTTGAGACTGGACTGCTAGGACGTACAGTGCTGCTCAATGAAATCCAGTCTAGTCGTGTCACTCAAGTGTGCACCTTGCATCATTTTGCAGCCCAGTGTTCGCAGGTCTATGGCTGTGCAGCACCCAGCGCATACTTGATTGATACGACTGGATTTCATTGAGCAGTGCTGTACTTGTACATATGTCTGTGTCGCTACAGTTTGCATTCTTCGTCTGTGTCTTGTCTGCATTCTCCATGTGCGTGTTTGTGTTGTTTTGCTGCAGGATCTATGTGCTGATGATTCAGTTCGGCTGGCGGTGCAGCGTGTGTGGCGACCTGGTGCTGCCGTGTTTGTCTTTTACGTGACAAACAGCAAGCAAACAAATGTGGATGGTGTCAAATTCCAGATTCAACCGCCGTCTGCATTTCAGGTAATGTACACCACAGTGCAGTCTAGAACGTAGTCTGATGCTTCCTGCATAGTAACACTGTGCACTGCTATTCTGATGCTGTTTGTACTTTTTGGAAGTACATGTACTCCAGAGTGCTTGCTGTCGGCGAGGAGCAGTCTGCCAAAACTGCAATGCAGAATTGCGGCGACTACCATAGAGACTATCTTCATCAATAGTGTACTGTATTTGTTGGAGTATAGTGACCATTCCCTTCCTATTTGACCCTAGTTTGGACTGGAGCATTGACATTAAAAAAATTGACAGTTGATGCAGTGTTCCCCTGGGGATTTTGAGGCATAAACTGTGCATGCAGTGTGTACTGTACTACATTATGTATATAATAAATGTAGAGCCGAAGGATTTATTGCAATTACATACCAGTATAAAAACCGAGGTCCCCCGAGGTTTTTATAACTGGTATGTAATTGCAATAAATCCTGAGGCGACTACATTTATTATACATATGTTGACCTTCACTTTCCCTAAAAAGGAGTATTTTATAAACAGTATTTATTGGCCTTAGTGGTATTTTATAAACAGTATTTATTGGCCCAAAAGCCAATAAATACTGTTTATAAAATACTCCTTTTAAGGGAAAAGTGCAGTGCTGCATGGAAAAGTACAGTGGTATTTATTGAGTCAAGCAAATTTATTTGAATTTGATACTGTTGATGGTGTGGTCACTAATGAGTGTGGGTATTTATCAAAGGTCAATATATAGCCCAGCAAATACCGATACAGCACATTTCATGTTGATGACTCACGTCCCTTTCCGAGCTGACCTGCTTGCATTCGTTCTTTCATTTCCCTGCAGGCCGAATATGTTGACTCGTCTCCCGGTGTTTCTGGCTGGTCCGGTGTCACAGTCGCAGCAAGCCAAACGGTACGGACTCCACCTGGAACTACATATTCTTGTGCAGATTAAACTCGGATGGAGAGCCAAGTTATAGTTATAGTTGTTGTCGTCATTGCAAAAAGCCCATGCTGGTTTTCTTCTATTACCTCCACTACTAAGCGCTCATTGTTGTGGCTTATTTTAAAACAGCTAATACTTACTTCCATATACTGTATAAGCAGAAACATTCGTCTGGAATTTAATTTCGTCTTTTTCGTCCAAGGAGCTTTTGGACTAAATTAAATGCCGGACTAATGTCGATTTGTCCAGCTTTTCAATACACTCTCATGATCCATGGACGAAATTTACAACCGGACGAACTCCCTTTCTTTGGAGTTGGACGAAATTATTGACCGACGAAATTTTCTGCCTGTACAGTAGTCCTTGAAGAGCGCAGAATCCGCTGTACGTCAGCAAAGTATTGATATAAATATTGTGCGTTCTCTGTGCGTGTGGCAGGCGTGCTTCGTTCTCAACGTGTCCGGCAAGACGGTCGCGAAAACGATGGTGATGAAAGGCGAGCTGGCGTACCAAGCAGGTGCTGCCACGGCGGCCAAGCGGCAGATCTTCAGCATGAACATCCTCCTGTCGGATTTGTTGCGGTATGTATGATCCAAAATGTGCTTTGTTGTTTCCCCACTCTGAACGTGGCAATGTTGTACAAAGTTTGAATCCTGGTGGTGACAGTCAATTTTTTCTTCTGATTTTACCCTTTTCCATTCCCTCACCCTATGAATAGTAACTGTTGTACAGAGCTTTTCCCTATTGGTTGAATTGATCGTGGCCAGTTTTCTTTCTTCTTCTTCTTTTCAGCAGTTTGCATGAGATTCTGTCAGGCTGCTTTAAACTGTTTTGTTTCTCTTTGTCTCTGCATGTAGGACTGCATGTAATTCGCTTTTTTCCTGTGCTGTTATGCTCACAGGCCACTTGAAGTGACGACGAATGAGTTTGGTGGCCGCTGGGGCTCAACATCTCACGAGAGCAAGACAAAGCTGTCCACAAGCATTCCCGACCTACCCAGCTTTATGGAGAGAGTCCAGAACCGTATCCGCATTCATCCTGTTCAGATCATAGGTAGGTGTAATGGTGTCCACCTGGTCACTTATCCAGGATAAGCGGAGGGGGGGGGGGGGGGGGGGGGGGAGTAGGAGTCACAAAGGCAGCAGCACAAAATCAATGCAATGTTCATGTGTGTTTGTACTTGTACAGGAATGTATGTGTGTGTGTGTGTTTTGTTTGAAGTTTTATTTTACATCGCAAACCAAACGGGCATTGTGTGTGTGTGTGTGTGTATATGTGTGTGTGTGTGTGTGTGTGTGTGTGTGTGTGTGTGTGTGTGTGTGTGTGTGTGTGTGTGTGTGTGTTTGTGTGTGTGTGCGTGTTTGTGGGTGGATGGGTGGGCATGTGCTCTTTCTTTCAGGTAACGAGGCCATTGCTGCTGGAACCATCCTGGGCAATCCAGGCACCCACTGCCTGGTACACTCCAAGCTTGTCAGTGGGCAGTTGGACTTGTGGGTACGCTCGGCCAGCAATCTGCTGACAGAGTGCCTTGTTCAGTTTTCCTCCTCATCTCTCAGGTCGTAAGATGACTGTCTAATGCGTGCTCCATTGTCCGCACAAGACATTCGTTTCTCCCCTTGTCTTCGTCCTATATGCGTTGTTATATTTTCTAAGTGTCCATGAAATCCAAGCTAGACATTTGCACGTCAGCATAACTCATTCACTTTCACCCTCTAAGGCTCAAGGTCTCTCTACTGAGATTATCATTTTACCCATTTAATATAGTACGTCAAATTATTCCCTTTATTATTCACTGACTGTTACCATCTTGTTTTCTTCGGACTTTTCTTCTGATTGTCTTTTCACTGTGGATTTCTCGAGGTATGCACTGGCAAAACAACCCAGTCACTCACAATTGTCTTGTACCATACAGAGCCACTAACACATGGTGTGCTGGTAGTGTAGGGTACATAGTCATAAGATATGGAAGGTTTGGTCCAGTTTTTTGTTCACTTGTACACTCTTTTAGAATACTTTGCACGTGGCACGGCTCAGCAGAGTCTTATTGGACCCGTCCCTCTGTGGATCGGGTAGCTGTACAGGCAAGTCTATTATACGGCTTGGTTGTGTACAGTTTAGCACAGCTGTTTTGCTCTTCTTATGTTCGTGGCTTTGTGCCGGCGCATTGCCTTTAAAATATAGAAATTTACTTCTTTTGTTTAATAACATCAGGTGCCATGACGTTGTGTGCTTGAGCTATATTTTCGGGCCTGGGGCCGGGGTGGAGTGAAAGTATACTGTACTCTTGGTCCATGTGATACAATGAGTACATAACCTTAAATTTGGGGTTAAGTACTCTTGCTTCAATGCATATGTATGATGTACTTTTTGTTTGGTGCATCCCCTGCCTCTGTTTTCCTCTTCCTTACCCGCGGCCGTGCCCAGGATCCGCCTCGTAGCACGCATGCTTTCTTCAGCCAAAAAAGTCGCTGCTTCCATGGGAAAGAATCAGCTTCATGAATTATAAAGTATAAAACTTCTCTCCTTCAGAGATCGAGTACCTGTAAGTATTACCAAGACGTCAAGAGTACATTAATGTACTCTTGCTAATAGTTGTTACGTAGTATAGTGTAGTTTCTAATGCACATACAGTGCACCAAGTTAGTTCAGTCACATTTTTTCTGGTGATAGTCCCTGATCAATACTGATCAAGCCCCTTCCAAGTAACACGGTTAGTCGTCGACGGGTCATGTGGGGAAAAAAAATAATCAGCTACAGCGCACTCATTACATGTACCTGCTACTTGTAGTACCGTACATGTAGTAGTTTCTCGGAGTATGGCACGTATGGCATGGGTGGCTTGGGTGCCCACCTACCCGGCCCGGTAAGGTCGGGGAATGTTGAGGGCTAAGTACTTCGTAGGTAGGGGTGCTTGGGCACCCAAGCATCCTTCCCCTCCCACTGGGCCATGGGCACGCCACTGCACAGGCATGAGAACAGCGGGAGTGTGAATGTGCGGAATGCACAGTACGTGGAGAATATTTTAAAGGAAAGTGCCAAGAGTTATTTTAATAATACAGTAGTAATAAGCTCTCAACCGCTGGGCCCCAATATGACAATGTTGGAAGTACATTCTACTCTTGAAAGTGCTGCCACGCATTTCCGCGTGGGGTTACCGGACTTCTGCAGCGCTGCTACATGTCGCCAGCCATGACTCAAGAGTGCATAACGTGTACTCCTCCAGTCTTGGCAACTACATTGTACTTCCGACTCTTGGTGCCACTCATCCATCTGCCAGTCATGGCTTTTGATTGATTGGTTTTCATTTGAGGATTGACGAAACTCTTTGGGAGCCTGTCAAGCGGCTTTCCCGTGGAATGAAAGAGGAGAGGAAGAGAGGAAAGTGAAAATGTGTGCAATGACATAATGTTCTGTACATGTATGGTCTGGCACATGTACATGACATGTACATGACAATGAATGCTGTGACTGGCGGTCCAGGAGGACCAGGACCAGTGCCGCAGTGGCGGAGCCGATCGCAATGAATCATTTTTACAAGCACCGGTACTTCAAAAGCAGTAGTACATGTTACGTATCTACAGTTGCACGAATTCATAGTACAATGTATTACAATGGACTAGTAGCCAGCAATAGTTGACAGGAGGGAGGGGGAGGATGGGCGCCAATATCGCAGACGCTACAACTTTACTTTGTAGCCACACGTCTCCGGTCGATGCATTGACACCAAGTCAGGGTGATACAGTCATGTTGAGAGAGGTGCATTCACGCTCTCGTAATAATTGGTTTTGCCACCAATGGCATGTGCAGCCAGGAGTGTACACAAAAGCTTGACAAGAAACCGTTACCCAGATGGCTTACTGTCTTGCGCAAAGGCGAAGGTACGAGTGCTGGCAACTGAAATCCGACCCCTGAGCGATGAGTTCACATTCTAGCGAAAATTAGTAGTTTTACTATCATGTACTGTACTGTGTTGGGTCTTTGCGATGTGAGCGCACCGCTCGGAGGTCGGATTTCAGTTGCCAGCACTGTAGATCTGCCCGATCCCCCCCCCCCCCCCCCCCCCCCGAGTCAACACAGCTGTACAGCGGCAGTGTGTTGAAAAGGGGCTCCCCACCCCGTGGCGGATGCAAGAGGCCCTGCAGGCATAAGCATCATAAGCATCATGTGACTGCCCATCGCAGCTAGCAGGCAAAACGAAACCCAGGCCCGGCGTAGCTCACCCATCACCTGATCACTGCACACCAAGTCTGTTTTTGTCGACAACCAAAGCAGCCAGTAGAAATATTATGGTGGTTTCCTTGCTCGCCACACCCGAGTTCGAAAACAGGCAGATTGTAACTACCCGCTGTCTCTATCACTGTCATCAACAGTTACTATAGTCTATACCCTTGCCATCATCACAGTCACGATGGATCGATCGAGTGACCGTAGAGTTTTTCACATACATGTACTACTACTAGTACAGTGATACACTACACGGTGTACTTCCGTAGGAACAGAAAAGAGCATTACTATACTGCTGGCTGGCTAGCCATGGCTGCCTTCTCCGGAAATGGAGTCAGTACTACTAGTACATGAGTAGTATCTCACTGACGCCTGACGGCTGCATGCACTGGAAGTCTAGTTGGGAAGCAGTTTAGTTGGGAAGCAAAGATGAACAACAGGGTGACTGACTCCATACAGGAGCTACACGTAGTGACTAATTAACTGTGCTGCTCAATGAAATCCGATCTACATGCATTTACTGTGAGCACAGCTGGTTCAGCTTGTCAGCACACGGGCCCGAAAAATGTACACTGACATGACAGTCTTGTGAAAAGAGCGAGCCTCGACATAGCTCTGCGCTGGCTGGGTGACGGTACTGGGTCTCCATGGTCTCCTAGGCTGTAGGCTGTACTGTAGTAGCGTTACCGAGTAGACACACACAGACCTGGCACTGACTCTGTGGCAGTGTAGATCCACATCACACTCTACAAGTACAACACGGCGGACTGACTCGTCGACTGTATCGCCTGGGACTGTCGAGCTCAGTGCGAGGGTCGTCGTAGATCAACCGGTGAGCGGACATCGGTGGCAGTGGAGACTCTACTCTCTAGACTGTTGACGAGTGTTGTGTAGAGTCAACAGTGCAGACTGCAGTACTGCAGCCACTACTCACTAGTCACTGCATGCAGTGCAACACCTACCCCTTTTTTGTTTATTTTCGTTCACCAACACAGTGTCCGCGATATTCGAGTGTGAGCCAGCGGCACGTAACGTCGCGTTAGAGACTGTGTTTGGCCCAAGTCACACAAGTCATTGTGGACAAGAGCGACGCTAACTCACTTTTACTTGGTGTGCCGTGGCCGTGGATGGTCGGGCCACCTGAAGGGGCTCTTCAATACTCGTACTGTAGCAGAGTTGCAACCGGAGTGTCGACGTCGGTGTGCTAGCTCAGTGTAACCATGTCGGAGTCAGCAGGCGGGAAGGACGATGATGTTCGAAAGCACTATGAAGTTTTGGACCAACTTGGCAGGTGAGGACGGAGGGTCAGTGGGGGCACGATGGTAGTGAAGTGTACCTGCAGTGCGACCTCCCGATAGCTGGCATGCTGCTGCTGCTGCTGTCCGTGATATTATTGTTTTTCCGCATTGTTTGCGATCGTTCCGCCGGACACACCGCACTGCGCTGGCATTGCACTGCGGGGTGCGCTGCCGTCTGAATGTTCGGACGGGTGCCTTCCAGTGACACAAACTGCGCTCAAACATAACGTACTGACATGACCCAATCTAGGCTGCGCCTCCATACTTGTACTGTATCGTCGTTACGCCGTTAGTGATCGTGGCTGATTTGTTGTGATCTAAATCAGCAGTAGTGGGGCTGCAAATCGATCTTCATTGATTCGGAAAATATGCTCTCTTGTGACAGAGAGAGAATGACACGATTGCGCTGTTGAGGGCGATGCCGCAGTGGTGTTCCTCATTTCGATGGAAAGATATCGGGTCACCGGGGGAGGAGGTCCGAGCGGCAGCGTTCAACGAGCCGTTTGTCCGTGGCGTGTACTGTGCTTATGTCGGGATCCATGATGAAGGGGTGTTTTGCAACCCGACGTGCACCTACATATGCTGCGCAGGCTGTGGGTACGTAGGGCGCTAGGGCATTGATAATGGTGATGCTGATTTTGGGCGCTTCGTTGCGCCTAAACTAAAGTTTAAACTCAGTAAAACTGTTTAGCTAAAGTCATATCTTGTGTGTATCTGTGAGAAGAACGTAACAGCTATGTGACTGCCCCGGGTATGGCTGGTCGAAGTGCTTGGACACTAGTAGTAGTACTAGTACTGATTGAGAAGTTTATGATTCAGTAACCTGGTAACTCGCAAAATATAATGCTTTTCGTTGCCGGTCTGCAACTGTGCAAGTGCTTATCATAGCTGGCATGATTGCCTGGTTCACTCAGCATGATGGGTGATTCTGGGGACTGTTGATTGATGTAGCAGTAAAAAAAAATATTATTTTTACTGCTACATCAATCAACAGTCCCCAGAATATTATTATTAAATTAATAGTTACTCAGCTAAGGGAAAGCAGGAACCAAAATAGTTTTTCTCTCTCACACCACGCACACACGCACCTTATCCGTCTTTCCTGCTTTTTATTTCTCTTATTTTATTTCTAATGGGCCATTACTGGTAGGCCTCAACTCAACTATTGCTCCAGCTGTAGTGTAGGGCTTGTGAAAGCTGTGTTGCATTTCATCTTGGCACAGATGGCATGCTGCATGAACCTAGGGAAAATGCATCCACATGTCCAGCACAGTGCAAAGTGTGGTTGTCACAGTGCAGCACTCCATGCGCTGACTAGGCTTGTTTACAAGGAAAGTGCAACAAAATCATCCACTCTCCAACATACAACACTAAAGTACTGGGTACTGCATCAAACTCAAAGCACTCATGCTGGATCAGTGCAGTGTGTGGCAGTGTTGAGCGCAACAGGGCTGGTCTGTGGTGCACAAGCTAATTAGATGGGCTGTGTGCTTGTTCTCCATTTCCTTGGCTTGGGTATGCCAAGTAGGTTAGTTTATCTCTTCTGTACTGACTGTACTCACACATTTCCTGGTCAGAAGTAAGCTGTGCACAATCTTGTACTGCTGAACTGCAGAAACATGTTAGCGTGTGTGATGCGTGCATGTATTACATTTGCTTTTAGGCTCACACACTCTCTTCCATCAACACTGCAATAATTCAACTCTTTTTTTCCGCCTGGTGTTGCCAGAATGCCCCAGCTGGGAGGCGGGGACAGGCTTTCCAGCTACCTACTAGTGCCGTGACCGTAAATGTAGTCGGACCACTTGAAGCACACCAAAGCAAAAGCATCCATCCCAGACATGCAAATCTTGCAAATCTAGGAAAGCATAGTAATTACACAATACAACTTACCAGTATACATGTATCTGTCGATTCCTCATTTCAGCAGAAATCTGGAACTGGTTTTGCTCAATCTGCTTTGACTTGGGTTTGGACTTGTGATAAAAAAAAGAAGAAGATTGGAGTGATGTCATCGCATAGGAGCAAAATTCACACTAAGTCGGTGAGGTTTAGGCTAGGTTTTAGCAAAGAAGTGTAAAGAAAACTTAGAAAAGACCGGTGGTATCTCTGCCAGGCTTTTCCGTGACTGGCGTAAGTGTCAATTGCTGTATTTAATTAAAAGGCAAACTTGATTATCTGGGTGTCTTGTAATGACAGCCTGTAGCACAGCACACCTTCAGTAGACTGACAGTTTGTGAAACGTGTGATCACTTGATGAATTCGAATTGTGAAAACACGTTACTGTAACAATTCATCTACACTTGCCTCCGCTTGTCGCCACCCACTACTTTCATAGTTTGAGTGATGCCAAGCAATGCAAACAATGCTGTGACTGGTCAAGGCATGTATTTGCTACCGGTGACCATTATGTCATGCCTAACACACCCACTGCTTCTGAAGTAGTGTTAGGAACTACTGCCCGCCCCTGGGTAGCACTTTCTGCAGTATACCCTATGGAGAAGCAGTCCGTGGGGAAACATGCTGCAGTTTAGAATGGAACTGTGTTTGCCAAACTAGTGTTACTTGCTGTGCCTGGTGGGGCCGCTGGTTATAGACTGTCGCTCATGTGTGCATCACAGGTAACAGTATTGACTGGTTCCTGAATCAGTAGCGGATGCTTTTCACAGCACCGTGTTTTAACCAGCTGTGTATGCCTTCAAGTCACTACAGGAATCGTCCTGTGTGCGTCTGTGTGTGAAGTAACAATACAGGCATGCAGACTTTCATTTTATACTTCAACACTCAATCAAATGACGAAAGGTCCTTGCCCTACAAGCATGCTTATTCACACGCATGGTTTGTGTATGTGTGTGTGCATGTGTGTGTGTGTGTGTGTGTGTGTGTGTGTGTGTGTGTGTGTGTGTGTGTGTGTGTGTGCGTGTGTATGCGTGCCTGCTTGCGTGTGTGTGTGTGTGCGTGCGTGTGTGTGTGTGTGTGTTGCATTCTACTATTGCATTGGATGTTCTTGTACCCTTTAGCCAATGAAAACTGTGGTAGCAGTGATTAGTCACCTCATGTACTGACCCTTTCCTTTGCTGATTTGTGCTTGTGTAATGCAGAGGTGTAACATCTGTTGTCAAACGCTGCAAGCATAGACAAACTGGCAAGGAGTATGCCCTCAAATGTATCGACAAAGAGGTAAGCAATACTAGTACAGGTAACTTGCCAGCGATACTGCGGCTGTGTTTCTCGTTCCAGCATGCATGTCTTTAAATAACTAACCTTTTGAATTTTGAGTGCGCTACGTGTAGCATACATGCGTGTTGATCATACCGGTGTAGGGTATATTGCCATTCACAAGTATTATCATGGTGGTCAGGGTATATTGTCCGTGCTTTGCTCTCCCTTGTCCAGACGTTTAAAAAGATCGCCGAAGTCGAAGTAGATATAATGATCGGACTTGATCACCCTAATATAGTAAGTTGTTCTTTTCATTATGTGTACTGCATGCATGTGTAGCCTGTAGGCTTGCTTCATGACCATGTCAGTTCAAGCCAGACCATTCTCCCTCGCCGTCTACAGTTTCTGCTCCCTCAGTGCCACGCATACACACACACACACAGTTATTGTCATCTTAGCAAGGCCTTAAAGCTCCTTCGCCAAGTGCAGCTCCACGGCACTGAATAGCTAGCCCAACTAACATGCGGCCACTGTGCACCTGATTCTTACACACTTAGTAAGTGACATAATGATCCGAGTTTTGCCATGCCCTGCTTCTCCCCACCTTCTCTAGATCAAACTGAGAGAAATGTTCGAGACAAGCAATGAAGTTCAGCTCATCCTGGAACTGGTCACCGGCGGTGAACTATTTGATAGGTATGGCCTGCCCTACCGGGTGTTAGCGACCGTCGTGAGTTCCCTTCGGGAACGGACACGATAATTTACTTTATTTTATTTTATGGCCTGCCCTATAGTACTGTCGGTATTACTATAGGTCTCTGTGGCATAGCTGAGCTGAAACCAGGACTTTTTGTCACCGGTTTGCATTTCCGAAATTGAGTAAAGGTGTCAGGGTAGTTACCCGGATTCTACCCCATCTCAGTGCTTGTCAACCCAATGTCCAGTGCTATGTTCCTTCTAGGCAGCATCTTGATTTGATGCTTGGGTTCGAAACGAACTGATGGTTGGACCAGTGCTGAATGTACTCATGTATCTCTTGTTCAGGCAGTCTGGCTGACCCGGTGCCTGCTCAGCACTCGGAACATGCATACTTCCTGAAATACATGCATGTGTATATGCATGTGTCACAGAATGAATGTATTTGAGTACCATTTTGGAAACCTAATTTCGCATTTTGGAAACCTAATTTCGCATTTTGGAAACCTAATATCGCATTTTGGAAACCGAGACCAAAATGTTGCCCGGCGACTGGATCATGTATGAGTTATGGTGCGGCTTTCCACTGCCCGTTGTTTCTCTTCTAGAATTATTGACAGAGGGTCGTACACAGAAAAGGATGCGTCAGATGCAGTACGTCAGGTCCTGGAGGCCGTAGCGGTGAGTGGCTAGGTATTCTACATGACCTATTATTTAGAAAGGGATTGATGGGGGGGGGGGGGGGGAAGAGAACAGATTTTTGTTGGCAGTAGCTACTACAGTATAGTACCAATTATTATTATTGTTATTATTATTCTCAATTCAATGATTCTTTTTCGGATCATAAAGGTTTTGCTAGTGGTCCAACATGATGAACTCATCGATCACATCGGAACCTCTGGTCGTGTTGTGTCTGACAAGTTACAGTTTTGTAGTCTTGGAAGTACTCGCTCCACCACTCACTGTGCATATCATGCCTACGTATGATCGGAGTACAGTGTATAGGCAAGATGCAATGCTGCTATCGGAGCGGCACGCTTTTTGGAACAGCTGGCAATTCATTGTTTGTGAAAAAAATTATGTGAAAGAGGCAAGTTTCTTCCAATTCTGGCTTTCGAAATCTCAATCGGCCGTTGCTTTGTGCACTGAGGTGTATTATGAATAGTATGAATCTTGCTGCTCTACTGGAGGCCGGGAATCATTATGTCATGTGTTTGGGTTTCTTGCAGTATCTTCACGAACGCAAGATCATCCATCGCGATTTGAAGGTGAGTCCAAACATGATCTCTGCACCATGCTGAAAGTCATGCTGCAAAGGGACGTTTGGCACACTAGCCGCTATGCACGGGCTCCAGCTAGCAATCCAATCATGGTCGCTCAGCCGGATCTTGATTGGGCACAGGCGTGATGCTGTTTTTAAATGTTGGACACATATTATGGTTGCTCGGGAGTTCGAAACATGAATTTTTCAGTTCCGCTCAGTCCATGGGTTATTGTGATGTATTAAAAACATGCAAGTTTAGGCATGCCTTGCCTGTTTAGGCATGCCTTGCCGCGTCTATTCTGTGTAACTGTCTTTCTTCATGTGTTCCTTGTCCATGTGGTCCATGTAGCCGGAGAATCTACTATATGAAAGTGCAGAGCCGGATGCACCGATCAAGCTAGGTAGGGTACAGATGCCGGTATAGCTAGGCTCCGTACACATCCAACACTGTCTTGCAAACAGTAGCTGAGCTAACCACTTGATCTGACTTTTGTTCAATGGGACAAGGCAGGCAGGAATCAACTGTACTTGTACTGATGATTTGGCGGCAACTATGTAGTAGGCACACATGGAATGAGACAACTGTCGCTGCTACTGCTGGCTCTACGGCTGCCGCTGCTGCTGCTGCTGTTGATGCTGCAACAGTATCTGTTGTCACTCTCATTGTTGTTTTTGCTGGCATTTTAAACAGCCATGTCACCTGGAACAGGCGAGAGCATGGGAGCAAATGGAAAATAACGTTACCGAGAGAAACACATGGAATGACGTAGAAGTGATTGTTGTATAAAAGTTGTGCGCATGCACCCACCATGTAGCACACACACGCACATGTGTATAAATTCCAGTGCTACTGACTAGGCCCTGCACTATTTTGATCTGAAATCTCAATCAGCTAATCTTGTAGACTAGGTAAGTATATCAACATCTACCATCTTATTGCAGATACCAATGGCTGATACAGTGTACACTGCGAGGATGCATGCATGGGACGTTGGGATGAATGTGAATGCTAATCCGTAGAGTGGATGGCTCTTCTTGCGGGTTTCTGTTCTGCAGCTGACTTTGGCCTGTCCCGTGTGATGAACGCATCAACGGCCAAGATGACAGTCTGCGGAACACCTGGATATGTCGGTGGGTCAGCTCATACCAGCCTAGTAACTCCGAATTCCTTTAAAAATGCATGTACACAAGAGCAACTGCTCGCCTGAAGATTATGGTAACGTGGAACTCAGAAATGCACTGAACCCTCCTTTCCTCTGCCTGCTACGTAAAAAGAATTGTTTGTACTAATTGCTGAACAAGCCCATTGGCAGGTAGGGTCATTCGAGCGTTTGCACCAGTTATCTCTGTAATGCTGTCCTCGTTGCACATCATCTGATGTGTGTGTATATATGTGTGTGTGTGTGTGGGTTTGTGTGTGTGTGCGCACGTGCGTGTATGTGTGGGTTTGTGTGTCTGCATGTACTATTGTATTGTATATGGCTGTTCGCATGCATCACAGCACCTGAAGTTCTCAGAGGCAAGGCCTACAACAGCGCAGTCGACCTGTGGGCAATCGGTGTCATTGCATACATTCTGTAAGTCTTACGTCTATGTTCTCACAACTAAGAGACGGGGCCGGTACTTTACCCCCCCCCCCCCCCCTTCAGCAAAGATGGTATTGGTAATGACTTCTCGTTTTCACGACCTCAGATTATTATTATGTATGTGTTTGTGTCATGCTGGGGGTAGGGGGGGGGGGGGGGGTGGCAATGTTGCCGGAGAAGGTGGTCATACCTTTCGTCATCAGCCCAATACGAGCACATGCTTCTGGCTGCAGATTTTCTGAAACATAGTGCAGAACGCATGCCGCATGGCAACTGAGTGTGCCCTCTTGTCACAAAGCTAGCATGTGTAGGCATCTGCTCGCTCGTACTTTGTAGGGCGAAGCAGGAGTAGGCTAGGCTAGGCATTTGAAGCCAGCAGTGTCTGGCAGTCCTGCCAAGCTCATGAATTGTGCCAGTTCCCTTAGCCTGCTTTACTGCTGTCCCTGGCGGCACAGATGTCATGTCTTTTGGCATCCTGGTTGCCTGCTTAGATTAGGCTGAGTGCACCCTCAGTCTACAGAGGCGATTGCCATTAGTCATTACATTGTACTTCCAATAGGATTCGTATGGTGTGCAATAAATACTGCATACTTACCTGAACTCAACTCATCATTTGTATCTCTTTCCCTTCTCTTTCCTTTCTCGTCAGCTAGCCCAAGATTGGTGTGCGGGGGGGGGGGGGGGCAAATTCACTATTAGGTTATCAATTCACAGGGCACCGGACTCACTCCTCTGCCTCTTCCCCTTACCCCGGTTCAGTTGGTTGGAAACCGAATGTTGTGTTTGCTTTGATGTAATGCGTATATTATTCTGTTTTGCAGGTTGTGCGGTTTTGAGCCTTTCTTTGAGGAGGACGATCAACGCATGTTCATGCGTATCATTCAGTGTGACTTTGAGTTCGTTCCGCCCTACTGGGATCACATCAGCGGAGATGCAAAGGTAACTTACTCTATGCCATGCGGTTTTCTCTCCTCTCCTGTCCCGGTCCCTCGTTTGATGTGGAGCGGAAATTGCATCCGTGTTAGATGCTGCATAAAGTGACCTACAGTCCATTCAGAAAAAATGAACTTCTAGCTTTTGGCCATAAATGGGTCAAACGTTGAGTTTTTTTAGAATTTTTTCTGCAATCCTCTATGGAATCCTCTTCCAATTATGTTTCTGAAGTTTTTTTCTCCAAAAAGCAAGCCATAACAAGAATAGGATTTCGGCCAGGTTTTGCCCCCAAAGCATTGAATTGGGAAAAACCATAAAAATCCAGGCCGTTTGACCCTGTCTGCAGCAGTGCATTGTGCGGTTTGAACCCCAGTTCAGGTACCCTTTTTGGACCCTTTTTCAAATTTCAAATTTCGCAGCACTGCACTGTGTACGATGAAATCACGAAAAATCGCCAAATACGGGAGCTCGCCAGAGCCAGAGCCCATCTTTTTATGAATGGACTGTAGGCACTAACTTTTTTAATAAAACGATGCAGAATGTAGCATTGGTATCTCCTATTCAATCCGGTTCAGGACCGGTTCATGACCGGTTCATGACCGGTTCGGGACCGGTTGTCAATAGTACAGTAAAACCTGGTGTAAGTGACCTCTGGGTTTAGCGACCACCTGTTCCTAGCGACCGTATTTCCATGCACCGACAGTTCTACACAGACACTGTGGGACCTGGTTCTAAAGACCGCCTGTACTACTTGCTGAAGAAGCCCCTTGGCAGGTAGGGTCATTCGAGTGTTCGCACCAGTGATCACTATAACGCTGTCCTCATTGCACATCATCGGATGTGTGTGTGTGTGTGCTAGCGTGTGCGTGTGTCTGCGACAAATTTCACACCAAGGTTCAACTCAAAGGTGCAAAGGTTCAACTTGAGTGACAGAAACTCGCCCAAACATGCTGTAAGTTGTAGCCTGCAGGCACGGTGACCAGGTGACTGGTGTACGCACGAGCACGTGACCGCTTTTCCAGCCGTGTTTGATTGGGAATAAGGGCCGAATGCTACATCGCAGCCTTTTCGGACCAAAACCAGTCGATTCAGCATCCAGAAGACTACAACATATGGGTCAATCACGGTCATCTGTGCTTTTATAAGAACGACGTGGCGCTTTTAGTGACATTTTGGATACAAATCCCCATCTAGTAGGGCGCAGTCACCCAGTTTCGGTGGAAGTGCGCGAGTTCGATTGGGAATAGAGAAGGAAGGGAGCGTCTCAGCTTCCTCGGACCAAGACCATTCGACTCCGCACCCCGAACACTACAACTGGTGAAAATTTGATTTTAGACCTAACTTCCCCTTTTTAACGACCGCTTTTGCTTGCACCGTGGGGTGGTCGCTTAAACCTGGTTTTACTGCAGTACGTGTACACGCACATCAGCATACTGCGGTGTGTTTTACCGTGTACAGCATGGCCTTGTGTTGTGTCATGTCCCCTGCAGGACTTGATTTCCAAGCTGCTGGTGTTAAATCCACAGCAGAGGCTGACGGCCAGTCAGGCATTGCAGCATCCATGGGTGAAGGTACGCGGCTGGCCTCGTTTCTCCTGTAGAACTCCGCATGAGACCGATGCTGTCCAGCCCATGTTGAATGTGACTAAACACAGTCTGTAGCTTTTAATACACATACATGTACTTCAGATTTTCGATTTTGACAGCATGTTACAAGGCTAGGACGCGTAGTGCTCCTGACTACAACCATAACCCGGTTGGCAGAGTCCCGGTCTTGCGACCATTTGAACCGTATTGGGAAAACCCTTGTAACATGCTGTCAAAATCGAAAAAACATGTTTTAATTAAACTACCAAGCAAGGCTTCCGTGTATATACCATGTACTTCAGATGTACTTTCGCCGGTACATGTAGCCTGGAAGGCTATTTCCGATACTGTCAGTACACCGTGAAAATAGCATCACTGTATGTACCAGATCACTGAGTTGTTGTGGATGAGTCCACTGAAAATATCAAGCATAGCAGAAAATCCTGAACTCCACATCCTGATTGAAACAAACTTGGAGTAAGCATGGGCGGGAGCTACTCGCTTTCACTGTGCATGGCTGAATAGTTCTCCGGGTCTCGTTTATGATCTCTGAGCTTTCTGTGCGCCGGAGAGAACTACTTTTGTCCACCTGGCTGAGCTGGGTTGTATTGTCTGGTTCGATAGTGGCCTTTTGGTTGTTGTGCCCGTCTGATGCGGTGTTTATACAGGGTGACACGACACCCACTGTACGGCTCGACAAGACGCTGGAAAACCTGAGAGAGTTCAACAGCGCTCGCAAGAAGTTCAAGGTATGGATTCGGATCATTGCATGGTTTGGATTATTCTATAATAATTATGTAATTGGAATTGGAATGGTATATCTCGCGCATGATTCAGCGATAGACTGCGAACTGACAGCTACGGGTGGCTATGTTGCCATGGCAGGCTTATCAGCAACAACATGACCTATTGTTTGTTACCATGGTTACTACGTGATGCAAAGTCCATGTAGATGCCCCTGTCTGACTTCCCCAGCCCGGTGGATGGCTGTGGACGGTGTTGGCCTGGTCTTGTGACCAGGCCAACACCGTCCACAGCCATCCACCGGGCTGCGATGCGTTACCATTGTAGGAGCATCTCATGCTGTGCAAAAAGTTCCAGCTGATGTTGCCGGCATGTGAAGATGGCCAGCTGGATTGCAACGGTATAGCGTGATGTTAGAGTAGATGGAATGGTCGAATTGGTTTGACAGAGGTGTATCTAAAGTGTGTGTGCATGACAGTCACTGAGACTTCATCACACCGTGCCGCACTGTGCCGCACTGTGCCGCATGATCGCGAAACCCACACTGCTGAGGTGGCCTGCATGTGAACAGCTGAGATGCAAAACCTGATAATTGTCAAATTAGAGAAAATCTGATTTTCAGCGCAGTGTACTCAGAAGGGCTAGAGGTACCACCAGGCAAAATTTCAAATTCAAAATCTGACTATTGCAATTGCAAATCCAACCATGGATTAGATACAAACCGCACATAAAAATGAATACTTTTGGCCATTTATCCAAAAAGTGAGGAAATGGATTTATCGGGGTTTACATTCCAGCTGCCTGGCGTGGTCGTGTGCACCTGCAGAAAGCGATCGGCGGCATTATCGCCATGCAGCGCATAGCACGGTCCACATCCACATCGAAGACCTCTGAGCAAGGATAGGCTGGCCGACTGGTAGCAGTGGGCGAGATTCTGACTCTGCCACCCACCAATGCCCTCGGTGCATGGATCATGTGATGGTGATGTGATCCACTCTTCCCTGATATAGCACTTGTATGCTCCACCTGTTTGTGAAGTAAGAACACGTGCCAACCTGCAACCATGCCAACCGAATGCGTACCATGACCCCACTTTATACACCATGTCCCTTGAATCTCTAACCGCCGTTTGGCTAAACGAGAGATCTCTTTTTTCAGTAATGTCCCTGATTTCACTTGTAGCATGTAGTAGCTGCCATCGTTTCTTTCCGCAGTATGACTACACAAGCAGCTATACTTTAGTACGTTTCCGGCGTCGATATTCATCGGAGCCGCCAGTCTAACTATGAGGCACACATTGCCGACCCCATTCACGCTGGACACCTTAGCACCTGCCAGTGTGTAGTTTGTTGCAGTCCGTTGCTCCGGCAAGCCAACACCTTTTCCGCATTGGCGTTGATTCTGCAGTGCTTTCTTGTGCACAATACTTACAGTGCCTGTCTAGTGTTCGTGCTCCGCAAGAAAGTTAGATGGCCCTGCACTTTTTTTTTGTGGTCTCAGCGCTACTGACCCTTGGTAGTACTGGTGTACTGGCGTGCTGCATCATTCTGTACATAGTTTATAACCGGCGTTGCTTTTCGACATGTGCATGAGATGTGCAGTCTTCTCCGTTTGAGATGACCTAGCAGCATCGCTACCAGTATCTAACGCTATCAGAACAGCCTCTATCCTTCCAAACACTTGATCAGAATCCTATTGCCATGCAGCTCGCTTGTTTCAGTTTGCGATATGGAGCGTTTAGCCGCTGACTCCCTGCTGCTCAAGTTTGTTGGTCTTTTCGAACACTTAGCATGATCTATCAGTTTCCTTCAGTGAATACCCCATGTTGTAACCACTTTATGGGTGCAGCTTTTCGTTAGCAAAACTTCCGCTGGGAATTTATTTCGTTTTTTCTACTTCAAAGTACAGGTTACCTAGAACGTTCCACTCGGCAAATCTGCAAGTACCGCTCCCTGAGGGATACATCCATTGTGTTCCGGAATCACCCTTCATCAGTTGAGCTTGAGTAAACTAATGATTACCAGGCACGTAGCTCTCATGGGACACGGGGGGGGGGGGGGGGGGGGGGGGGGGGGCATGTGCCCTATGTTCAGCATGCACGTTATGACCATGAATGACATGCACCAGCCATCCTACAAATACATCATTGTGTGCGGCCGTGCACCCCCCCCCCCCCCTCTAAAAGGAGGACCAGCTCCGCCCCTGACTACTGTCTATTATTGCCATAAGCGCCATGAGAGCGCTCCGTAATATGGTGACAGTCTCCCAGCCTAAACATCACTAGGGATGCCAGCTTACAGCGACATTCCATTTCCGGCTCAACACGCATATTGTTAGACTCCAGGCAGCAGCGTGAGTGCCGGCGCACCTGACATATCATTAGAGTAGGGAGAACAGAACACGAGTGTAGGAGACTGAGTACAACTAATTTGCTGCTCAATACAGAGCTAATCAGTAGTCGGGGAGGGGGCACTGACTGAAAAGATGACCGGCGTCCATTTTTTCCTACAATGCATGCACTAGTATCCCGGCTTCATAAAGCCCTTGCCCTACTAGTACTAGTACTGAGCAAACCGCTCTATTAGTATTACCAAATTAATATTTTGATACATTTAGGTGGTAGATATGTATCTAATGTTGACTGAGTACGAGGTCAATATAGGAAATAAAAGCCGAGTAAAAGACCGAGGCGAAGCCGAGGTCTTTTACGAGGTTTTTATTTCCTGACGAAGTCAATATTAGATTTATCACGACAAACAGTCCGTATTTCAAATTCCAGAACGATAACCTCATGAATCCCGGTTTTATGATTGCACAACCGTTGCACCACCGCCTACTCATGCAGTGACAATGCTGCACTAGGCACCGTCCGTTCAACTGCGCAGTGCGCAACCCCTAAGCAGTCAATATAGCCCTAAGGAGTGAAATATGCAGGAATATTTGACTGCTTAGGTATGGCAAAAATCTATGGGAGTCAATACTAAGGGAGTGATAAACTGTGTTTCTTGTATTACATGTACGTGTAGCCATGTGCTGCTCTTGTAGTAGTTGAGCACTCTCATGTGGGGTAGTGCCTTGGCTGTTTGCGTTGTTCAGAGCTAACTGACTTGTCAGTTTGAGCACTCTGACAAGTTACGTTTGGGCCTGGTTTAAATCTGGCTTTGGAAACTTATATGTTTCATTGCTATCAGGTTTGGCCTCACTTTCTCTGTGCTGCGCTGATGAGTCCACAAAGGACGAAACAGTTGTATTTCGTTGTTGTGATCACATGAAATTGTAACACCGAGTTCTGAAGTCAGCAGCTTCACCCTGCAGTCCTGCTGGGTCAGAAAGATATTCCACTGTTTCACACGTACCCTAATCTGTCGGTTGCACCGGTCGCCCCCCCCCCCCCCCCCCCTCCCTCCACATCACTCATGGCGGTCACCATCATGTGACTGTCCATGGTCAATGATTGGAACGCAGGCCACATAATTAATTCATGTGGCCTGCGTTCCAAAAGCAAAGCCAGGGGGGACTCGGGGCCTCCCCGTGCCGCCATGCCCCCCCCCCCCATGATCCGCGAGTCAGGCCTTCTAACGCCATTCATATCATTATTATTCGGCATTGATTCTCATGGTACGTGTACGAGTAATGGGTTTTCATTTGACCCAACGAGATCATACGACGCTTGCAGACGACAGCACGAACAGTTCACCAGCCACACTCCAAACGCACGATAGCAAGTAGTGATACTCTAATAGGCAGCTAGCGAAACGTTGGACTGTTTTCGATGCGCAGAAGGCCCACTGACCGTTGCTATGGTGACGTGACTCGTGTGCACGAATTCGCGAAGTCGCCAGTAGCTACATCATACATGTATGATATAATCCAACACTGGTAAACCAGCATTAGATAAACCTTATTGGTATATACACAGAAGCCTTGCTTGGTAGTTTAACAGTCATGTTTTTCGATTTTGCCGCAAGACCGGGACTCTGCCAACCGGGTTATGGTTGTAGTCAGGAGCACTACGCGTCCTCGCCTTGTAACATGCTGTCAAAATCGAAAAACATAAACCTTGTTGTAGTTCATGCAATTGTTAGATTGACAGCATGAAACAAGGTGGAGGACACGAGAAGGACGCCATGGGCAGAAGTTGGAAGAAAAAAAGAAAAAGAAGTTTTTATAAAAGTTAAAGAAAAGAGCGAAGACAACAAGACGACATCAGGAGTAATCTCCTAACCCCTAGCATAATGAGGGTCAGAACCGGGTGCGATACCCATTTATGGTTCAAATGGTCCGCAGGGACCGGGGCTCTGCCAACCGCGGAAGGTTGTAAGGTCACTGTTTTCGAACACAGTGTCCTCCACCTTGTTTCATGCTGTCAATCTAACAATTGCATCATACATGTATGTACCGGTAACCGGTATTAGAACCCAATACTAGTACACTGTACTACATGTAGTTCAAAACTACCAGCTACAATGTACATAATTATACATGTACATTGTAGATAAACCTTGATAGTTCACACATACATGATTGTATTGTTAAAACAGAGAGGTTCCAGGCTGTCCAAGAGAGTGCTCAATACCGAGTGGTAGAGCTGGTTCAAACAATAGGAGGACAGAGAAAGTGTTTTTACTCCGAGTTTACTGTTTTCTGATGATCGCTTAGTGCGTAAAACTCGGAGTAAAAACACTTTCTCTGTCCTCCTATTGTTTGATTGTATTGTTAGATTGACAGCATGCTTCGGAAACAAGCTGTGTTCGGAAACAGTGACCTTACTCTGTGTACAACCATCCACGGTTGGCAGAGCCCCGGTCTAGTATTAGGACCATTTGAACCATTTGGGTGAACCCGGTTCTAGGGTCCGACGGATTCTGCCGGCAGAAAAATTGGCAGAATTCGGTACTTTTTCTGGTAAGTTTCGTGCATGCTTGGTTGGTATGTGGATAAAGAAATGGAGCAGAATTCGAGGAATTGCCCGCCATAAGGTTTGTATGGTTCTGCCAATTTCACTGCTTTTCGAGCAGAATCTGCCACCTTTTCGAGCAGAATCCGCCGGTCCCTAGGCATTGGCGGATAATGCTCGAAAAGGTGGCAGATTCTGCTCGAAAAGCAGTGAAATTGGCAGAACCATACAAACCTTATGGCGGGCAATTCCTCGAATTCTGCTCCATTTCTTTATCCACATACCAAACATGCATGAAACTTACCAGAAAAAGCCTTACCGAATTCTGCCAATTTTTCTGCCGGCATTATCCGCAAAGGCCTACTTCTCGCGACAGTGTCATGGTGGTGGCAGTAACTCCGGTTGACAGCTGACGAGCTGAGAGATGGACGCCACGGGCAGAAGTTGGAAGAAAAGAAAATTTTTAAAAGTAGCTACATGACTATCACAGGACGACATCCAGTCATCCAGGACTGAGGAGGCTGGAGCGATCAAAGAATGCACGACGGACGTAAGGAGAATAAAACTCCCCTAGCATAATGAGGGTCAGAACCGGTTTCAACACCCATATGGTTCAAATGGTCCTAATGCCAGTAGTGGACAGGGGCTCTGCCAACCGTGGAAGGTTGTAGTAAGGTCACTGTTTCCGAACACGGTGTCCTCCACCTTGTTTCATTCTGTCAATTTAACAATATGTATGTACCGCCGTCCGCGTACCGACGTAGACCTACGAGATGTACAGACTATGTACATGTACATAGTCATTTTTGTACAGTGCAGACAGTCACTATTATAATTTTAATACTACAATTGTACAAAGTCTACAATCATGACAATGTACATGTACTTTGTAGTTATTATCAGTCTGTGTATGATGTCTGCTGAGTTGTGCTTGTTTTGACACTTTTTGTGCTCGGGAGAATGAAAGTTGAAGACACCACTGCAGCTGTACTTATGGTTGATAAATATGGTGGTAAAGAGTCACACCTGGCAATATGGCGGTAAACACAGTGGTGAGAAGGAGAGCTCTGTGCCAGAACTTTGCAGCCTAGAGAGCGTGTGTGGGCAGGCGTGTGTTTACCGCCATATTGCCAGGTGTGTCTTTACCACCATATTTATCAACCATAAGTACAGCTGCAGTGGTGTCTTCAACTTCATTCTCCCGAGTCAAGCTCCGTATGAAGACATCCAAGAAGAAGATTGCCTGATGAGTCCAGCGGGGACGAAACGTACGTCGCAATCGAGCTATGTCGTTGCTGTGTCATCATCTATGTGCCATGCGCTACTTGATGTACCAGCCTGCTATGCCGGATACCGCCAGCCATGCATCGAGGCGCCAGGCGCGAACTGATGGTGGTGGTGGTGAGAAGGAGAGCTCTGTGCCAGAACTTTGCAGCCTAGAGAGCGTGTGTGGGCAGGCGTGTGTTTACCGCCATATTGCCAGGTGTGTCTTTACCACCATATTTATCAACTTTTTGTGCTCTTACTCTTACATACACGTACATGTAAGTACAATACTCAAACAATAGTAGCCGTCTTGGGGTTTTTTTTGGGGGGGGGGACATTTGCAAGTACATGTACATGGCTTTATAATTGCCAACCGCGGAAGGTTGTAGAAAGGTCACTGTTTCCGAACACAGTGTCCTCCACCTTGTTTCATGCTGTCAATCTAACAATATGCATGTACATGGCTGTAACATTTTGGTATTTCTGGCCAAAGCCAGGCAAAGACTGGGGAACTTTTGCCGCTCAAGAGTCAAGTCTCAAATCCCTGAGAGAACTCTGGACGGATACTGCCTCTTCACCGTGGAAAACACACACTCGATTGATCGGGCTCTACACTATGCAGTCAACACGGTAAACCATGGTGAACACTGCATGCTGCTGAGCTGCGGGAACAACACCAGCTCCTCGATCACTTCCATAATTTCAAGATCACGGTGCATCGACATCTGCATTCTGCAGCCGGCTAGCCGTGGATTCCACATCAAGGCTGGACAAGAGGGTAAAGCGTGGACCACTTCGTGTTTCGTGTTTGCCTCCAGCTTCCGTGCCGGAGTCTCCATCAAAATGGGAGGTGGAATTCGTGTAAAGACAGTGGCCAGCACAGTAGGCCACGGCGTACCACTGACGGAGCAAAAGAACTGGCAAACCGCTGAGGTCGCACGGACTGAGACTGCGTTGGCAACGTTGCTGAACTCGAAGTGGTGGTATCGTCACACGACATTGTTGTGTAAGTACATATGTACCGTAACCGCGTAACTAAGTTTGGGCGTAACAATGCATTTGCGCAAAAGGTAACTATTACTTTCATGCACTGCATGCACCGACTCCTGTGACGACAGCAGCTATGTACAATAATAACTATAATCATATGTAGCGGATTGCACTTGTAGGTTAGTTGTAAGTAATTAGAGAGGTTAAGATGCACGTTATTTCCGACGTGACGCGAAAGTTCAGCTCGCGTTATTTGCTCGCACGTCGAAAAATCAACGCGAGCGACCTGCTGCTCACGTCGAAATTTGGAGTTTTACGCCAAATTTGACGTGAAATTGCGCATCACGTCGGAAATAACGTGCATCTTAACCTCTCTAATAGTTAGTTGTACTCTTGTGCTGTAAGCCTTGGTTGATATCATGATGATATACGGTGATAATTATGATAGGTGACATGTTGGACATAGTTCAAGAGGTCAATCAAGGGGTCAATCATCCAACAATGTAACGTGCTCTTCTTGATGCACAGGCTAGGCTGCACTGCAGGAGGAGTTGTGGCCAAAGATTGGGGACCTCCTGCCGTTCAAATCCCAAATCCCTTGAGAGAGCGTTTTGAAGTCCGTAGATCTACTCCGAAGCATTCCAGTCTGTATCGGCTACTAATGACCTGGTGTAAGGATGATGGGCTACATGAACATGACATGTAAAGTGATATCGGAACAAAATATCAAAAAAATTAATAATATCAAAAGCAAAATGCATTTTTATCGCTTGTAGTGAGTGATGCATAGGATACTGATAAAACGCTGAAAACAAAAGGGCGCGCAATAGCTGATACAGACTGTACAGGACAAAGATACAGTCATGAATCGATGATGCCCAGTGCAGTGGCATTGCACAACAGTGCACATAACATTAAAGTTAGCACGTCCACGTTACAACCGGCTATACAGTTGTATTGAGAAACATAACTAACTTGGGCCAGCTTAATAATAGTATAGGAAGCGGTTTTGCTCGTGCCAGGCCACCACCATGCCTGTGATACAATGTACCAGGGTGGCAGATGCAGCGCTAAAGGCAAGAGTAAGGTGGTAACTCTCACAACCAAGCGGCCGACAAGGGGGCAAACCTCGTTAGCTGCATCCATGTCACCTTCACTCCAAGTACCGCTGTATTGAGTAAACCATTGGTAAGGCGTGACCTACTGAGACTTTTGAATATAACATACTGTGCACTCAGCATGCAGTGGATGTTTACAAAAGCCCCACTTGAACCCCATGATGGGGGGGGGGGGTAGAGGGAGGTGACCAGGTGACTTTCCCCGGGAAACTAGGGTCACTACCGGCATACCGGGATTTTTGACTTTGATGGAAAACTACCGGTATTGGCACTGAACCATGACGGCATGAGTGTTCAAAAAAGGTTGTTTTGTGGTGTGACAAAGGCACATGGGGCCCTGCATTTCACAGAATCACACATGTAGGGGCGATCTGACAATAAAGAAACTCAGGTTTTGGTCCCCCAATATCCAATGGGCAATTGGTTAGAAATGAATAAAAATTGCGGAAAAAATTGCCAAAAATTGCAGAAAAATACTAGGGCCGAGTCGGGTAGCATTTTCTTCGGGCATCGGGTTCGGATAATTTTCCACGGGTACCCGATTGGCCCGGGTAATGTTTCCATGGTACCACCACAATGCACCCCTTCCCTTACACACTGGGTAGACATGCAGAATATTACATGAATGTGTACGCATCCACTGTACTTGATGTCATCTGCGACTTTGGGTTTTCGGGTACTATTCTGTACCCGTCTACCCGAGGTACTCACGGGTAGCACGGGTACCCGACTACCCGTAAAAGATATGCAAAATAATCAAAAATTGCCCAAAAAAGAGAAAATGGCCGAAATTGGTGAAAACCAGGAAAATAAGGGAAATGAGAGAAAATTATGACTGGGCAAGTATGGATATTGCAATCATACCTTGCGCTGGAAGTTACTCGTATACAGCCAGGAAAATCAACAAAGTTCATCCGGTAAAAAAATTAGCTTTGAAAGTAAAACGTCTGGCTGTCAGTCACACTTTGGCCCTTCCCCTCCCCCAAAGCTAAAAGACCGTGATTTGAGTGTCACTAGTAATGAGGCCGGGCTACATTACTGTAGTAGTCACATATTTGGTTTGCTAGTGGGGGGGGGGGGGGGGGGGGAGGGAGGAGGTTGATGGCCAGTTGGAACCTGTGCTATGGCTGGAGTTGATGCCAGCTTCGTTACACCTGGTCATGGCTGGAGCAGCGAGAAGCACGGCTATAATGTTTGGCCGATTCTGCCGGTATACGCCAACTTGTAGATCGTGCCAGGGCTGTCGGCACTGTTTGCCGGAGTTTGCAGGCTCTGGATGATGGTGACTGGACTGGCGAGAAACAACACAAAACATAATACTGTCACTACAACTGAATGAAATATTTAATGGCGATGGCGTCTTCCCCATACACTGTACCCATAACCCTACGAGTAAAATCAACACACGGATTTACCTGGTGTGGCACAGTCGTGCGGAGCGGCAACAGTAACCATGCTGTGGTAGTGTTGTAGAGTGTTCGCATCTGGACTACGAGAGCAACTGGAAATCGTTGTGAAGTCGAGATGCCTCTACCTGGAGAAAAGAGACAGTGACAGCACAACATGCTTTATTATTATTATTATTATTACGAAGTAGTGGTTGCGACTTCGGCGATAATTTGTAAGAAAGGGTTTGCTCCGGTATGGGGAGCAAACCCTTTCTTACAAATTATTATTATTATCATCAAATTTTTAATAGGGCAATCCCCACAGGCCTAAGGCCTTTTTACAGCTTTCATTCATCAACAAAGTGAATATTACCGGTATACCAGCACAGTGTATACGTTTTGTATCACAAGCACTGCATAACAGCGTCATATCCTAGCCAGATGATGACATTTTCAGGTCTCTCCATCTACATGTACATCACATGTACTAGTAGTCCCACTTTGGGTATGGCATACTACCAAGAGTAGATAAATTTATCTACTCTTGATACTACTAGTAACCAGGGAGTAGAAATTATTACTACTTGCAATACTATTTTTACTACTCCCTGGAAACATGAACACTATTCGTCACAGCATGTGACAAGCTTGAAAGCATTGATCATTGGCTTCATTGCACATGCAGACCAGTACAGTGAGTGAGTCGTCAAGACTTGTCATTCAAGAGCCTTTTCATCAGTGATGTCATTGTGCTGAAACTGTGCATGTGTACAAAATCATTGCGATAATGTACGCCGGTCATACGAAATATGGGCACATCCTTTGAAACTGTAATAATGAGGGTGGTGTACCATGTACGCCCGTTGCAGAAGCACACAAATCTGCAAATGCACTGGATGCACACCCACAGACTGTCTCCTATAGCAACGATAGCGGTCAAGATCTGAATCAGGGAGTCGTAAAATACCGTATTTTACGGCTCCCTGATCTGAATGAAACAGATCAAGACCATGCAATCTACTGAATCTCGTGAGCTGTATGCTGGACAGCAACCACCATCAAAACTGCTACTACAGTAATACTCCATGCACACCTGCACTTGCATCACGGACTTCGTACAAACCACCACACTCAAAGACACAGAGGAATTGGCTTGTATGAACGTCCGGTTTAGGCAAGACAGTTGCGACCCTTTGGGCCACAGAACTAAGATTGAACGAGGACAGATGTACGAAAGGATCAGAAAGAGTACAGACACACAATGGTTACAAAGTAAAACAGACAAACCTGCAAATGTGAAATTTGCTTCGCTCTAAAGAGCACCTAGTACAGAAACAAAAGTGGAAAAAGAGTTCACTAGTGGAGAGCACAAGTGCTAGAGAGAAAAAGGGATGTGGAGAGGAGGCCAGAAGAGAACAAAGACATAATTACACAATGATTCTTGTCTGAGGGATGTAAATAGTACAAAACAGAAATACAGAATTGATTGCAATCCAGAAGTTGGTGGTGGAAGCCTGGTAGCACGAAACAAGCACAATATCTTGATGGGATGGGAAAAAAGAAGCACACACATACTTGCACACAACAGCGCATTCACCCACTCCTTGCCACGACCAGCAATGCTATGAGAGCAGCGAAAAGACAACAAAGACCTGAGCTACGCTAGGCGAAGGAATGCAAAAGAAAACGTTACCGTGTCATGAGAGCACATGAACATGCACACTACTATGGGTGTATCAGAAAACTCTACGCTCAGTGAGAAAAATCTATGATGGCACAACTACTGTTTGTGTGTGTGTGAACACTAAAACATTGCAAAGAGGAGCAGAGAGGTGAGGATCATCCACCTCTCACACCAAAGCGAAAAGAACGAAAAAGAAAAGAAGCCGCGAAGGAAGGAGACAATGGCACACCTACTCTGCATGATGAAGTATCGACTTCAGCACACAACATGCACAGCAAATTGGGAATAGGAAAGGAAGAAAATCGGGGCAAGCACCAACATAGAACATGGTGATATTACAGGAGCAGGACACATCGCAATATACATACATGGCACATGAACACAACAAGAGAAACTTTGATTGCATGAAAAGCAAAGATTTTTTTATATAAACGTACATGCATATGTGCAATTTATACGTACAGGATCGTACCTTCTTTCAAGTCATAGGTTGTACATGTCGGGTCAACATGCATTTCATATGACATTCATTCGATCATCGACGACATATCATTGGACGCAAGGACATAATGCATGACGTTTATACATGGAGTGTGGAGACTCAGCTGCTGCAGAAGGCATACATAATTTATGGCAGCACAGGAAGAGCAAATGCAATGAAAACCAACGCCTTATGCTCTAAGTGTACACCTACAGTGGAGCCTCCCTTAGTGGACACCTCCACACAGACTTAACGCTATTGTGTGCAGTTCCAAACTATTCCCGATCAAATTGCAATTAAAGTTGCAAACAGGACACATCCATACACGGACACGTTTGTCCAGTTCCTTTGGGTGTTCTTAGTTGGAAGGTTCTACTGTAATCAACTTCTCTGCTGCTGCTGCTGGCTCACACTGAGCAGCAATGTTTGAGGGTATCACCAGCAGGGTTACAACACTCAAGGATCCCAACCTCAAGACAGAAAAAGTAAGTCAAGCAACTGATAAAAAAGACCCTACACTGCATTCATATTTAAGTGGGTACCTTTGTCTTTTTGGCGTCTCAAATGTAAAATGGTAGACACATTCGAAAACGGTACATCCCGCATTGTGTTGTCCGTGCAGGCATACATGGGAACGTGTATGGAGAAGCAAATATATAAGTAGGTTTTGAGCCTAAATTCAGCCAAACGAATTTTCAAAGCCAGCGGGACCTATTTTATCTGAATATACTGTAGATGAGAAGTGTGTGAGAGGTTCAGCAATATATTCGGTCTCGTGTCTCGGATGCCAAGCACGGATCAGTTATTGCAAGTTGGCAAAGGGAAGCACATAACAAAGCACAAGATAAAACACCAATACAGAGACATCAAAACAAAGAGACCTTCATTAGGCCCTCTTCAGACTAGGTACAAAACAGCCTATAAGTCACATTTACATAGAAGTTTCCAGGACAACAACAAGAATCTGGCGGGAAGCCTAAAAAGCTGCCCAATCCTTTCAGGCAGGGTGCCAACCCTTGTACAAGGCAACTTTCCTGCATTTATCGTACTTTCACCAGGCAGTTGTACGAACTTTGTACCCGGGTACGACTGTCCGCTGCTTTCACACATCCCAGGCCCCTTGCGCAATTTCGTAGGGTCAAAGGTCGCCTGTGTATTGCATGTAAAATGTGTAGTCTGAATGCAGGCATGGAAAAATGTTGCCTTTTAGGTTTTATGTGATTTTGTACTGGATTTTCTATGTACGTAGTCTGATGAGGGCCTAACCAGTCTTCCACAGACACCAGTGCACTGGGCAAGACATCATTTTGACAGATGTGACAAGCAAAAATCAGCCACATGATACAACAGCCCAGAGACTGGGTGACATACGAAACATGGGCTGTGCACTGAACACGGCTCTGCTTCATTTCATGCAACGGCCGGTTTTCACTTGCCACGACTGTAGTATCTGACATTCGTCACACGCTAGAAGCCATGCTTACTATCTCCAAGAGTACATAACCCCCCAAGAGTGTGCAACTCGACAGGATTTCAAGTTGACATCATTTTTATGATGCAATGCGCACTGCACACGGATTATCAGACGAATTCGGAATCTGTGGTGGACAAAAGCCCATCTGATCCTGTACAAATCATTGCAAAGATAAACGTGATGCGTCGACACCAGTACACATGTTGTAAATCACTGGTGCAAGGAGCATTGCATCATAAATAATGACGTCAACTTGAAATTCTGTCGGGACAGCAGGGTAGTTGCACACTCTTGCTATCTCACATGGTCCTTTGTAAGTGCCTACAATAAAGAGTCTGAAACGTGTACACAATTCATCTCTCTTATCCAGACCTCGGTCTACCGGGCACCCCGTGCACACGTGGAAATAATGACATAATGCGTCAGATCTCTGGCCCTGCCCCCTTGACTCATAGTTACGGACATTTCGAAGTCATGGGCAGTGCCCGGTCCCGGACCACCTGGATAAGCGAGACACCAGTGTACTGTGCGTGTGTGCAACGCCACTGAAAAGCACAACTTACCTGGACGGCTGCTGGGTCTGCCCGGGAAAGTAGCCCAGTTGTCGGTAGTATTCAGCCCACTGCGCTTGCATGTCGTTGCTTCCTGGGTTACCACCGGCATTGCCTGCGGCCACTGCCACTGCAGCTTGCTGTGTGGATGCAGCTGCTGCAGCGGGTCCCATGTTGGGCTGGTTGTAGTACTGCTGGTAGTAAGCTGCCCAGGCTTGAGCGTCAACGCCGCCAGCACCTCCGGATGGTTGGTTGAAGCCTTGATTTTGCATCTGGTATCCCCATTGACCCTGCTGCTGTTGTTGCTGCTGCCCATACATGCCCTGGCCACTCATCTGACCCATCATCGGCTGGCCAAATTCGTTGCGGCCGACATGATGGTTGTTGACATTCGATGCCATTTCACACTTGTTGCGAATCAACTGCTGGGCACGTGAGATTTCTTCTGGCGTGCCACCGATGGTGAAGATCTTCTCCTCGGGCCCACACATTGCGTTGCGGTTGAGCTGAATATGGGCACCGCTCTCCTGCTGCAGAGACCGAATAGTTTCGCCATGTCGTCCAATGATCAGACCACAGCGACTGGCTGGCACTGGCATATCCACCACTTGGTTGGGCCCCAGGAATGCACCGCCAGCTCCACCACCCATGCGCATTCCACCAACAGAATTGCCCATCGCTCCAGTTCCTGGGAAAGGTCCAGGTTGGCTGATGTTTTTCGTGCTGTTGCGGCCTCTCTCCACGATCTCTTCGACCATCACCTTGGCCTTTGGCAAACCCTCCGGTGTTCCTGCCAAGATTGCGTTGCGGATTTGCCGCCCCGGCTGCTCTGGCTGGAACTGAATTCTCACACCGGTCTCGTTCTGGATCTTGCGGATTTGCTCTCCGCTGCGACCAATGACCATACCAACGAGCTCGCGTGGGACAGGAACTTCTAATGTTTCCTGGCCGGCGGGAGTAGTATCAGACTGGTGAATTAACTCATTTACCAAATCACGCCCTTCAGTGATCGCTTGTGCAGTGCCCTGAATGCGAAGAGGTTTTTCATACGCATTCGTATATGGTCCGTCTTGGATCATTTGCATCCTGCAACCTGCCTGCTGCTGAAGGCGCTTGATGGTCTCACCACCCTTTCCAATGACAAGACCAACTTTAGATTGGTGAATCATCATTTCCATGGTTTCGGATCCAACTTCTGGAGCACCTGCAGGAAGAATGTTGCTACCAGCTCCACTAAATCCACTGTTGACATGAATAATACCTGCGTTGGAGGCACTAGGCTCCGATGGCAGTCCTTGATCAACAAGCGACTGAATCATCATTCTGCCACTAGCAATAGCTTCCTTAGTACCAGTTAGAGTAATGGCACGTTCCATAGTATGGTGAGTTGTATCTGGAGGCGCACATTGAATTCGAGCGCCACTCTCAGACTGCAAACGGTTGATAGTCTCACCACCTCGGCCGATAATAATACCAACCATTCGGTTCGGCACTTTCAACACCTCCTCCTGGACAGACTGAGCCGAGGCACCTGCAATGGTCTGGCCACTTAGAAATTCTGCAGCTTTCTGAACTGCTTGGCCTTGTGCCTGTGCAACATCGAAAGGCGCGCCACCAGGCATCCCTTCCATCATAGACCTCTTCGGAGTCCCTGTGCTATCCGCGGTGCCAGGGATTTCCTCAAAAGGCCGCTTTATATTATCTGCAGCGTCGAATCCATTTCCAGTCTGTTGCATAGGGGTCTCGATATTCGTCCTCTGCATCGCGTCCTGGAAAGAACTCTGATCAGCAACTCCCGGTGGCGCTTGGTCCATGTTGTTATACGCTTCGGTTGGTTGAGCTTTGCCCAGCTCGTCCATGGCAAGCAGCAAATTTAGCAATATTCAGGCATGCAGGTACAGGTACGGATATGCATAGAAACTAAACGCGCCAACTACTCCCCAAAACATGAAAGAAAGGGAAAAATTTCTGTTCACTCATAAGATTTATCAGGTGCATGAAGTGCGAAGACTCTTTTTCGCGGTCAAACAGTATGAGTGGTGAACTCAGCGTACAAGTGTGGCGCCTACACTACCTTTTTTTCAACTGCCAAAGACAGTCAGTCTGTAGATCTACCAGGCCAGTCGTACCAGTTCCACTCTCTGGTACCACATGGTACGCACTTGCTGCGCTGACTCGTTGCGTGTGACTAACCCGCATAGCAGTACGAGCAGCGTGACATTTTTTATCGTCGCGCTAGTAGCGTGCATGATGCAGTCCGTGTACGCGTGCCTACTACACTCTACAGTGCTGTACTCTGTCCCTGCTGTCCTCGTTTGTGATTTTGTCAACAAAAAAAAGGCAAGAGGTATCTCCATATTGCTCCTGACCCGTGGCGAAGCGGACACAAATTTTGACGTAATCTTGCATATAATCTAGAAATCACTTTTTCGGACTAGATACTACAATTATACTGTAGTCGTATTTTTGTATTATTATCTCATGGCACATCATGATGACGGCCAGTAAAACTGAGACAAGGGTGAAAAGGCAAAGAAGGAGACAAACCAGCAGGATATACATGAAACCTATAATTGAGCAGAGATTTTAGCAACAAAATTATCCATCGACGTGCTGGTCTTGGCCTGCGTTGGTAATGTTGCCCAAAACACATAGCCAGCAAAGATCGGGGATCTAGTGAATAGGGTGGAGGCAGCGCTTGGGAGACTGACGTTGTGACTTGTTGTTTCGATTTGTTCAGCAGGGCAGGTCAGGACAAGGTTTCATGCAGACAACTGTTGAGCCTACCATTGGATGTCCCTTTCTTGTCAACATCTTGTTGTCTCTGTGTCAGTGGAGCTCAGCAGTTCGGCAGATGCTAGTAGTACTGTCACTACAGTAGTACATGACGATGGTGTGCATGTATTTCCATCAATTTCTGACTTTGGTCTGGAGAGAAAATAGCTGTGGAGAAAGCTCAAAAATCAACCAATCGAAAAGCCAAGGAAAACTTCGTACCTGCTTTGATTCTCACTACAGTAAATACCAACAACAAACATCATCAGTGGAGTAGTACAAATTTAAAAAATACATTTGAACCCTTGGCTTGAGTTGTTTGTGCATGCATGTCGTTTCCACCCAGCCAGGGCATATCTAGGCTAGTACAGACTCAGTAGATCTACTACATAATCATTGTAGGGCCAGATCTCGGAGCAGTGCCAGAAGCTCTCGATCGAGCCTGCTATGCAAAATGCACCCAAAGCGACAGGGCCAAACTCCCCCCACACAAAGTTGTCGGCCCTGCATGGGCGCGCACATGTCAGCGCGGGGTCTTCGGCGTAGATTTTAGGTAGGGAGAGTGAGTTTATCGCCATTTTTATTGGCGCACCGTTGCTTTTATGGACTCGATCGAGTCCATGGATCTATCCAGGGCCTACGTCAAATAATAATTATTAGGCCAAAACAAATAATGACCTTGTTTCCGGTCGCCCGACCGGGCCACTTTTTCCCAAATTCTGAAACTTTTTTTGGTCCCAAATGTATACAAACGGTGGCAATGCCATGTGTGCAAGTGCACTCAACGAGTCATAACTCAGTCAAATCTCAACCAAATTCCACAATCGAAACACCTACAAGGTAGCAGAGATTCTCAGCTGTCGGCTCGAAAACCTCCGGGGTCATTACGAGCTAGAATAACGGAGCTGGAAGGACTCGAACTGTTTGCTTGATTTCTCAGGATGTACGAAAACAGAAATGCACCACATGCTGTACAAGAACAGTGAGTCAGTCCACTTTGATATTGATCCTTGCCATGATATATGTACAATGTACATGTGTAGGTGCTCTTGTCCATCAATACCACAACGATTGAGGAACCAAAAAAAAGTATCCAAAAAAAGTTTCATTCCGGCCGACCGAGTCTCCTTTTTGAGGGGTTGCCGACCGGAAACAAGCCTATTTTTTTGTTTTGGCCTTATACTAAGTTATAGTACCAAGAGTACATAACTACACATGTGTAGTTATGTACTCTTGATAGTACGCGTATACGAGTAGACCCAGGTGCTCGAAGTCCGTACATGCTATCCTAAGTTCGTACGCCCATAATTAATTAAATTTTCATGTTCTGTTATTGTATTCGACTCAAATATTTTATGGAGGGGACAGGTACTAGGGGCATGTTCGATTGGTTGGATCGGGATCCCGATCCACCGGATCCACTGGATTCGCACCCTTTCGATTGGTCGGATCCGGATCCGGATCCTTCGGATTTGGATCCGGTCAACCCTCCTCGGGGAGCAGGGTTGACCGGATCCAACGGATCCAAATGTGACCTTTGTGCGTATATGGCTGGTAAAAATCATTTTTGTACACATTGTGGTACGCACACGTGGATGGAGCTTGTTGACTTTTTGTACGACGCACGGGATGAGTACGACGTTCACCCTTTTGGGTGCCTTGTGAGCGCCATTTTCAACATGGCCACAGTCAAGGTCCAAAATAAAGTGTTCAGTTGAATCTGAAGGATCCGAGGGATCTGAGATCTGGATCCCGATCCCGATCCTTACCAATCGAACTTGCCCTAGGTATGTTCTCCTCGCGTAGCAATTTTCAGGGATCTACGATAAGCAGAAGTCCCATACCACGCGAGTGGGTTTTCGAGTGTCCATACGAAATACAAATAAATTGGGTTACATTTCATGCAAAAATCAACTTTGCCGAGACCGATTTCGAACGGACACAGCGTCAAACAGACCTTCACTCAATCATCAAGAGCCAGCTTAGAGCTGACAATGGCCAGAGGAGAAGAATTTACAGAGAACCACCAATCCTTGCAGAAAGGTTGACACTCCTGGCATCTCCACCACTGTTTTCCCGCGGTTTTCACAGCGCAGCTGCTTCTTTTCTGAGCCGACTAAAAACAGCTTGCATTTCGGCAACAAACTACGCTTTTGCAAAAAAATACTGGTGGAGGCACATGCCAAACATATCCCTTCGGTGCTTTCGTCGTAACCGAGGGATTGCAAGTTAGCAATTAGCAGAAATATGTGTGTATTTCGAGTCACCTCTGATCAGTACGGACTTAGAGTACCCTCTGCGACACAAAAATTTGATGTGAAAAATCAGCGAACTCCAGAGAAACAGATCGGATCGAAAGATGGCCTGGTTCAATCGAGCCTGGCCTCAGAACAAACTTGGACAAGATACCTTCCATCCACGAGCAGGATTCTGGCAAGTGATCATTGCTACTGTTTCAGCTCGGCAAACACACACTGTAAAAGTGTACGGACTTCGAGCACCTGGGTCTACCCGGTCCGATCCGCGGTATTTGACGACTCCCTGTCCCTGATCGAGTCCATATAAGGCCATCATTTTTTATGGCTATGTTTCGCGTCGTCCGCACGCATACGTTTTGATCTTTTTCGGAAAGAAATAAAAAAATCGAACATGCACAGTAAGTGTACGATCGTGCGAGTCATCAGTGTGGAGTGGTTGCATGCGGCGAAGCTGGGATTCAGAAATGGCCTCTAGGCCAGTGTTGGTAAATCGTTTCTTCGGCATCTGGGAGCAATCTTCTATGAGCTTACACCAGACCGCATTGATCGCCTCAAGCTGAGAGGATGCGTCGTTCCGGAGCTCTTTGCACCGCTGCTGAAGTCTGAGCACAATAATCCAGCGAAGCATAGTCACCAACGGTTGCCTCCTCTGTCCAAAGTGAATATTTACTCATGCTGATAACCCAGATGTTGTGCTTCGATGTACGATTTTTCTTTCGAATGTACATGTACACCATGCACGAGCTATTGTGCTATGTACAGTGCATACACCTCTGATGAGCCTTTTTTATTATTTTGCAACTTTTTTATTTTTTTCCACCTCTCGCATAATGATTCTGGAAGTTGAACTGACGCGAAACATAAATGATGGCCTAAAACATAAAAAAAATTATGCGCTCTTGACTGTCGACGATGTCGCGACGTCGCGTGTCGATGTCTAACAAAAGGTACTACAAAAATTATTATTTTAAAAGTGTAAGCACTTGTCACGTGTCGCGTTTTGCTGCTAGTGCTAGCCTGGCATGCTGGGGTGCACGTGCATGCAATGAGTACTCGATCGAAATTATTAATTTTACTACAAATGTGTAGTGGAACTAAACTTTCTACATGACTTTGTACTAGTAGTATGTGAGGCGATCTCGAAAGTTGTCCAGTGCGGCGTATAACCTGAACAACCTCTCAGACTGCAGCAGTTGGCAAATGTGTCGAGGCATGTAGTCTACAAACAGAGGAATAGTGGATAAGAGTTGAGACGCTGAAGTTCGTCGCTGGCCATGTCAGTGAATTATGCAGCTAGCCTGTCCCCGTACGACAATAAAGGGAAATGCGGACAGGCAGAGGTGAGTGGCTACTTTAAAAAAAAAATTACCAGGGAGTCGTCAAATACCAGGTACTAGGTATTTGACGACTCCCTGATAATTACTGTATTAATAATCTACTTGTATATAAATCATGTACAAAAGTCATGACATGTACTTGTCAGATATTTTAAAGGAGATGTTAAGCCTAAAATCAATTGTTCGCCAGTTGTAGTCTTCGGGGTGCTGAGTCGAAGGATCTTGGTCCGAGGAAGCTGAGACACTCCCTTCCTCCTTTATTCCCAATTGAACTCACGCACTTCCACCGAAACTGGGTGACTGCGCCCTACTAGATGGAGATTTGTATGCAAAATGTCACTAAAAGCGCCATTTCGTTCTTATGAAAGCGCGGATGACCGCAATTGGTCCCTATGTTGTAGTCTTTTGGACGCTGAGTCGACTGGTTTTGGTCCAAAAAAGGCTGCGATGCAGCGTTCGGCCCCTATTCCCAATCGAACATGGTTGAACAAGCGGCCACGTGCTTGTGCGTACACCAGTCACCTGGTCACCACGCCAGCAGGCGACAACTTTCACACCAGGGTTCAACTCAAAGGTTCAACTCGAGTGACAGAAACTCGCCCAAACATGCTGTAAGTAATGCCGTAAAGTCGCGGATAATAGCCGGGTTTGCATACAAGCACATCGCGGATAGAAGCCTGAAAATCAAACTGGTCAAATGCATATAAGCCTGTCGCGCGTAGAAGCCTGCAAGCGCGGCTCGGGTAGGTCAAGAGTGCATGCGCTATGTACGGTGCATAGTAAAACTGCCGCCATACCGGTAGTCAGTGGTAGATCTACGCGTGTCACGCGTAGAAGCCTGGCTTCTATGTCATAGTATGTGCATACAAGCCTGGTAAAATATCAGTGGTGCATATAAGCATGGTTTGCATACAAGCCCGGCTTTTATCCGCGACTTTACGGTAGTTGTAGCCTTGGCGCTTTTATTGACATTTTGCATACAAATGCCCATCAAGTAGGGCGCAGTCACCCAGTTTCGGTGGAAGTGCGCGAGTTCGATTGGGACTAAAGAAGGAAGGGAGCGTCTCAGCTTCCTCGGACCAAGACCATTCGACCCCGTACCCCGAAGACTACAACTGGTACATGTACCACTTAAATTTCTGAGGCCTTCTCTCCAGAAGTAATACAGGCAAAGAAGAAACCGTGATGGGCATTATTCTCTAATAAGAGCCTGGGTTTATGTTTTTCCTTGACCCTGTTGCCCGTGCTACTATTGAAGACCGGGCTTTAATTTTTTTAAATGCTGATGTTCTGAATATATTGAATTTTCGATACAATCATGTACTTGGTCTGCCAAGTTAAAATTGGCGCTTCGCACTTGCTTTTTTGGTGTTCTGCCTGTGTCATACGGCATGGAACCACCGATTCACCATCCGAACATAACCATTGGCCATTGCATCCGACAACATGGCAGCACACATCATCACAGAAGTTGCGATCGGTTCGTTTGAGTCTTTTTGACGGAGCTGCCACCGACGAACACTTCCGTCAGCGCAAGAAAACGCTGCAACCTCCGCTCGAGTCCGTAAAATAGGTCGGGATGTTCGCATTTCAGAGCTATGGGGAATACAGTTTCTGTCTACTTCCAGCTGTCTGGTGGCAAGGGTTGTGTACCGCGGGGAGGTATAGACAAGCTGAAAAAGCGCTTCGCGAGCTTGAATTTCAGTACTGGCACAGTACAGCGTCTAGTGAAGAGTTATCACCAGCAAATCGCTGACGAAGAAACTGCAGCTCATGTCGACATCTCCAGAAAGTGAGACCAATCCGACAGACACTCTTTGAAGCTCACAGAGGACCGGGCAAAGGAGTTAATCAAAATAAACCGTGACTAAGTCCTGAGGGAAACTCTCGTGCAAAGGACTTTCACTAAACTAGCCGAAAAGCCTGGCGCAAGGTGTTAGGACTTAGGTGCAGTACGCACAGGTGTTACTACTGTAGCGGACATGGAAATCCAGTCGATTGACCGGGGCCGGCGCCCTCAGCGCGTACAGACCGCTGCGTGCAGTGCACATGTAACTGTTGATCCAATGCGACCAGCGCGCTGCAGCGCATACAAAATTCATGTGTCTACCGCTTATTCACGGCTGCATGGCCAGCGCCCTGGGGCCGCTAGACTTGCGGCCAGATTTCCATGTCCAAGACAGTAGTACATCAAGCGGAAGCTATCACTGCGCTTCATGAACAAGCACCAGCGGCTCACGCGGGTGCTGATCAGCAAGTACGACAAGCGCAAGAGGCGATTTGAAATTGGACGCTGATGTGGTGTTGCCTTTTTGTCTCAAACAAAGCCGCATTATTGCGACGAACGGGGATAACACTTACAGCCAACACGCAGGCAGTCTCACTCAGCTTCTGAGCGGCAAGGTGACAGGCACGCACTGCCTTTGAGCGTGATTCGAGACGAGGAGAAGTGGAACAATCTATGAAACGTGTAGCGGCTGTCCGGATCGAACGTTTTGAGCTCTTCCTCCAGCGACGATAGTGGCGAGGAGGACGTGTAACTTGCTTGAATTTTCGGATGAGTTGCTTAAGCGGGATTCACAGAAGCTTTTTTGCGATGCGACACGCGATGCGACAGACGCGAAACCGGGAAAACCCCAAATCACAGCCGTGTCGCACCCCACGCAACTGCCGCAACTGGGCCATCGCAGGCCATCACAGAAGTTGAGCTTGGCTCAACTTTTGCGATGCGATGCGATGCGACAAGCGATTTGGCGTACGGTTTTGACCTTTTCTACAGCGAAGTTGTACAAAGGTTCAAGAGTTGCCTATAAATTTGTACAAGTTGTATCAAACCACGCGAATATCATGGTGACGTACCCAAATCAGCAAGACTTTGTCGCATCGCTGACTTCTTCTGTGAATGGTATTTCGCGAGTTCGCATCGCACGCATCCATCGCAGATCGCGTCGCATCGCAAAAAAGCTTCTGTGAATCCCGCTTTACTGACATGTAAATAATCATATACATAGTGCTTTGTGATCGTGGCATGCTTCAAATATATGTATTTCCTTCCTGAGACAAGTGTGAAGATAAGCGCCAATTGTAACTGGGCGGACCAAGTATAACAGTGCCATATTATTCCACATAAAAATTCAGACCACAAACTGTGTGTACAGTAAAACCTGTAACTAACGACCACCCCTTGGGGCCAAAAAAGCGGCCTTCTGTGGCAGATGGTCTTAAGTTGGAGGTTGGGCACCACACGACCATACGTGGATCCCATATTAGGGTCTAAATGGAGCTACTAGTAATACACCATTCTCCATCACTTGGGAGAGAGAGAGCGAGGGAGATAGATAGAGAGACAGACAGACAGACAGAGAGAGAGAGAGACTGAGACAGAGAGAGAGACAGACAGAGAGATAGATAGAGAGAGTGTGTGTGTGTGAGAGAGAGAAAGAGAGAGAGTGTGTGTGTGTGTGTGTGTGTGTGTGTGTGTGTGTGTGTGTGTGTGTGTGTGTGTGTGTGTGTGTGAGAAAGAGAGTGAGTGAGAGGGTGTGTGTGTTTGTGTGTGTGTGTGTGTGTGTGTGTGTATGTGTGTGTGTGTGCGATGATGTGCACGGTGATGTGAATTTTCATTGTTCACACCTGTACACCCACGGAATCCTTTGACAGAGCTGCTCAGTCCTTGTTTCCAGCTGTAGCATGGGTCAGAGAGCCCTTTCGATGCACTCACAAAGATGTTCCCTATCCTGTTTTCACTTGAAACCATGAGAGATGCAGTGCAGTTCACAGTCCTATGAACGTGCAATCATTTGTTCAGTTGTAGTATCTAAAGAGTCTTCCTTTGGGACGATGGAAGATCATCAAACTTCAAGGAAGGAGCTTAAAAAACCTTTAGTTCCCTACATCACGGTCGCTAATACATTAGCCTTGATTAGGGCAAGAAAAGGTGCTCCTTGTTAAGCAGGTAGTCGCAGTGTATTTTGAATGTAAGAGCGTTCGTGCTTGGAGAAGTGGTCGGTGGAGGCGGGTTGGTGGGTAGTCACGGTAATCTTTAGTTACATCATCATATCACTAAGGTTTTCCTGTAATCTCGATCAATACACATTGTACCTACAGTACATAAACTAGAGTGTGTAGTTCCACAACCGATCCCACGGCGAAGTTTTTGTTTGTTTAGGTCATCATGACGTTTCTTCAGAATTCCCAAACTCCATTGCAGCGTATTCCTTGCACTTGAAAACACCGCCATTCCGGCAACAGGCTCTCAGCTGCACCAAATAAATAACTTTGCCAATATTTCGCCCATTGGGCATCATCAGGGCATGCCCTGATGATGCCCAATGGGCGAAATATTGGCAAAGTTATTTATTTGGTGCAGCTGAGAGCCTGTTGCCGGAATGGCGGTGTTTTCAAGTGCAAGGTCATCATGAGTCATAGAAAACTTGCCGTACCGTAGGTCCAGTGCTAAATCACCGTATCAATCAGGTGATAATGGGAAATTCGCGTGCATTTTTCACCATTTGTACGACAAGCAGCAATGCACAACAGAAATTACCTTGGTGAAACGGTAAAATGACCATGTGAACCGGTATGACCTAAACAAAACAAAACACTTCGCCTTGGGACGATTTTCCTGGAGCTGCACATTCTGGTTTGTCTACTCTTGATTGTAGTAGCACAGCAGTGAATGATATCGTCCTTGGTATTACCGAAACACCACAAGAAAGCTAATTTCAGACTGATGGATCAATCACTCGTCCCACTCTGATTCCTCGACCTCACGGCCACTGTTGCCGCCGATGTCATCACCACTGCCATTGCCATCCGCAGCCACTTCAATCTCCATTGCAACGTCATCTTCCTCCCCCTGTGATATGCAGACAGACACTGAACACACTTGCCTGTTAAAGGGGAACTCCACGAAAAAATGAACGACCTCTTCTCTACCGTACCCCATGTGTTTCGGGTAGGGTCTCACATTCCTCTTTCCTCTCTGTGCATCCACTCGGTGCAGGTGTTCGAGGATGAAGGCAGTGTTCGAGAAAAATGCCGTGAGCTGGCAAAGTATATCAAGGACAGCCGACATGTAGTTGT